GAGGAAACCCTAAATTCAGGCAGAATTAAATAGAATCCTGAATTGCGCCCTCCCCCCAATTTTTTTTTCTTTGTTGTGCCCAGGATCAAACTCAGGTCCTTCACATACAAGTCTTGTGCTTTACCACTGAGCCACATTCCTCATCCCAGAACTTGTTTAACATTTCAATCCAGCATGTGAGAGCCATTTTTGTATGAGGCTTTGTGTGGGATCCACATACCAATATCATGTGCTCAGCTCCTTGGGGACTTAGGACTGAATGTCTGCATCTGAGGAACAGTGCAGATACACGTTTGAGTGTAATGCAGCTCTGCTATATAGAACAAATCTGTCGTGTTCTTTTTTAGTACAGAAATTTTTAGATGGTCAAATCTGTCAGCTTTTCTGTTTTGGTGTCAACCTCTGACTTACATTATGGCTTAGGCTTTCCTTCCCCTGAGGACAAGTACTGCCCAGTTATTTCCTTTTAGTTCTTTTTTTTTTTAAATTTTATTTTAAAAACTTCACTTGTTTCTCTGAAATCTATTTTCAGGCATTGCCATTTGTTCCTCACTCCCTCATATTAATCATTAACAAAGGACCATGTGGCCGCTGCTCAGACGGAACTGCAGGTATGAGTAAATTAAAGAAATACTGCCTCCCCAGATAAAACCTGCCCCCTTCTTTCTCTCAGTTGGATTCTCTCCCCCTCTATAGATTTCTCATGGCCCAAAATGGTAGTACTGGGATCAGGACCCTCACCCAATTGACCTCAGGATCTGTAGGCCAGAGTTCTGTGGATCCTCATGCATCTCTTACTGTTGTGTGAGACTGCCCTTTTGTGCACCGTTGTCAGGGTACCTCTGGAGTGTCCTGCTGAGCCTGCACTCCTGATCTCTTACCATTCTTCATCTAAGTAAGACTTCACTTCTTTCCTGCTTGAGAGCTCTTTCAGGACCTCTAAAGGAATGACTAAACCATTTAGTACGGAAAATAGGCTTCCTTTGGATCAAACTCTCTTCAGATTATCTGTTTCCAGTCTCCTGACAGGTCTTGCCTCCTTAGGTCTCCTGGAACTCTCTTGGCTTTCTTATGGCACATCCTAGTGTACTTCTTTCTCCCTGCCTGCCCTTCTAGTTGAAAAGAGTTGGATTTCATTTCTCCCTATCCTGACATTATCTTGTACTGGAGTCTTGTCATCATTAATTTGTTCATTCTTAGAATATTTATTGGGCACTTGGAAAGTGGCAGGTGCTCTAATAACTAGCTTTTGTTTTTATTGTTTTGCACACCCAGCAATGCTCAGGGGTTCCTCCTAACTCTGTGCAGAATGAATCCTGTAAGTGCTTGGGGGACATAGGGGGTGCCAGGGATTGAACCTGGGTAAGTTGTATACAAGGCAAGTGCCCTAAACACTGTACTATCTCTGCGGCCCCTAATAACTAGCTTCTGAAACCATGGGTTGCACCCCATAAGGGGTGACGTAACTTTCAAATAAATTTCTTTATGCTTTGTTATCAGCAAATGCCTGATTTATAGGCCTGTTTTATACACCTCTATACTTGGGGTTGTATAAAAATTTCTTGGGAGAAAGGGTCATGAATAGAATAGTTTAGGAAGCCCCGTGCTGTGCTGGCCACCCATACTGCCTTTCTATGGATGTCTCCCAACTCTTTTTATGTTCTTCTATTTTTTTTTATCACTTCTACTCTTTCTGCGAGAATCTTCCTAAAATGGTCTTTCCCTGGTTTCATGCTTGGATGGGATGAAATGATATGCATTGCTGAAACTGAGATCCATTTATGAGTTAATGCAGGGGTAGCCACGATGAACACTGATTCTAGAATGGCAGATGTAAATCAGCACTGTCCTAGGAAAACCAGGGTGACTATTTTGGCATTTTGGCTTTGGGCCACACCCATAGTGGTGCTCAGGGCTTACAATACATATGTAAAATTTACTCATCCACCTATTCATCTCTCCATTAATTTATACCACTAAGAGTTATTTTCTGATTTTCTGCAATAATGTTTTTAATTTCCCTCTCCCTTCCCAGCCCAGAATAATGCTTTGTAAAAGTTTCCCTATGTTAGGCTATATACAGGTTAAAATGCTCAATGATTACTTATTACTAGTTTGAGAAATGTTGAGAGACTGAGGATGTGGCTCAAGTGGAAGAATACATGCCTTGCATGTGGGAGGCCCTGGGTTCAATCCCAGGCCCTGCTTGTTATCTTTCCCCAGAATCTCCTAATGGTCCCTAAGTAACAAAGCAATAGGAATGCTCTAGCTTCTGAGTGCTGCTAGGTATCAGAGGGAGGGAGGAAGGGCCGGGGAGATAGCTTAAAGGATTAGAGTGCTGGCTTTGAATGTAGGAACTCCCAAGTTTAATCCTTGGCACCTCACATTCCCCCAACCATCACTGGGAATGACCCCTGAACACAATTGGGAATCACCAGCCACTGAGCACTGTCAGGTATGACCTAACAAAAAGAGAACCTTAATGTTGGTTTCTCTTGCTACCCCACTGTGCTTTTGTCTTTTGACTTAGTGTGACTTAGTTCTGCTTCTTCGTGTTTGGTCAGGACCGGTAGCAGCAGCTTGATGTGAGGATTCCTGCAAGAACCCTTCTACCTCCCCACCATCTTCTCTGCTTCCCCCTTCACATCTCAAGCATGAGTGTGGATAGGAGCCAAAGGTACATCCCACTTCTGGAATGAAAATTCCAAACTCCTTGCTACTGGCTTTGAGCACTCACTGCTGGGCTTTTCCCTCTCTAAAGAGTGTGATTCTCGAAAGTTTTGAATCAGGGCCAGGGCTGAGACTTGGAGCTTAGGTGCGTACATGAGTCTTGAGTTCAATCTCTGCAAAAAATTTTTTTTCAGAAAGTGATGAGATTATAGAAACTGATCAAACTTTTTGAAAGGCAGTAGATAATACTGCAAAATAATTTCACTCTGACCCTTTTGTCCTAAGAATATATTTCAATAGGAAGAACACTTTGTAAAGTGACCATAATAACATTATTGATACTGATTAAACTGCTGGGAACAACAGAATTGCCTAACACTAGTAAAACTGCATTATTATCTTGTAACTTATCTTGAACTCAATTATTGGTATATGGTGTAGCTAAAATGATCATAGGAAGATTAAATAACAATGTGAGAAAGTATATCATAAAATTATGTTCAAGAAATAGTATGTGGAATTATATTACCATATATTTATGATTTTATAACTGTGAATATGGGTAGTCCTGAAAAAGAGCATAATAAAAAAAATTTAGTCTTGTATTAGTGCCAAGGAGTTATTTTTCTGTTTTATTTTATGACCCGGCCCCCTGTAGATTTAAGATCTGCTAGGTTTAATCTATGCATGCTAACTTGGGAAGTATTGGTTTTATATACCACATTCTCGCTTCCCCACTTTTACCCTTCAGCCATATTTAAATGCTTTATCATTTTGCCGGTCAAGGTGGTATAAATGTCCTTGGCCCATGCTTTCACCAGCTCTCCCTCAATTCAGCCTCTCAGTTCAACAACAGACTCAGTTTGGCAGGATGATAACTTGGTGCAAAGAGGACAGATTGAACATGTATGTCTCGATTCACTATAGAGGAAGCTATGACATGACTAGGCATATAGTCATATCAATATAGGAAAATCCTCTGATCCTTATCAGGACAGGCTGAAAACAAGGAATGTAGATAAGAGCTTTGTCCATAGGGCCGGGAATTAGGTCAGAAGATGAAATCTTCTTTTGTTTTGTTTTGTCGCCACATTCTTTAATGCTCAGGACTTACTCCTGGATCTACACTCAGGGATGACTCCTGATGGTGCTGAGAGGTTGGGGATTAAAACTGGGCCGACTGCGTGCAGGGCAAGTGCCCTGACCCCTATTCTGTCTCTCCAATCCAGAAACAAAAATCTTAGTCATCTTCCAGGACAATTCTGGTTAGCTATTCTATGAAACAATTCTTGAACACCTGGCTTACTGTTAGTGCTGGTCACTACTATGTCATTGGCGCTAGGAGAATCAGCCAGCAAGAATTGAAATCCAAGGGCTGGAACCATAATAAAGCAGATAAAGGTGCTTGCCTTGCACAAAGCCGACCCAAATTCTCAAAGCCTCGGCACCACATAGTCCCTAAGTCCCATCTGGAGTAAAGCTTTAGTACTGCCAAAACAACAGCAGCAAAATAACTGAAAGCCAAAATTATCTGATGATTGGTTTTTTGAGCTTCCAAACTCAACTCTTTCAGTTTATTTTATTTTTCTGTGTTTTCTTGGGCCACACCCAGTGTTCTCAGGGCTTATTCCTGGCTCTGTACTCAAGGATCACTCCTGGAAGACTCAGGGAACCATGTGGATACTGGAGATCAAACCTGGGATGGGCATCCTAGGCAAATACCCTACCTGCTATACTATCTCTCCAGCCCTCTTCCTGTTTACTTTTTCTAGGAACAGGTTTAAAGTTAAAGAGTTTCACTTCTGGGAGCCAATTATGAAACGGTAAGAAAATCCAGGTAGATTTTACACTAAATGTTTCTTTTTCTGATGCTGGACTTATTGAGTTTCTATTAATGAGCCTCTGCTTTCTATTATTAGTCTCTTCCTTGGTTTTTGTGCTAACCCATTTTTATCTTATTTTTTTAAAAACCATTTCTTCCTTCCTCTGAATATTTATGTTTCCATGTGAGACCTTCTGCTCTACCATGTTTTGCTACCCTTGGATAATTCTCCTTTCGTTAGTGTATAGAACAGGTAACATGAGCAATTTCTGTTTCTCCTTGTTAGATGGTAACACTGGGAGTGAGGAGATGTCACTGTCACTGTCATTGTCCTCCCGTTCATCGATTTGCTCGAGTGGGCCAGTAACGTCTCTATTGTGACGCTTGTTACTGTGTTTGGCATATCGAAGAGGAGACGTAAGTTCCAAAAAATTACCGCGAAAAATCAGAATCTTTTCAAAATCAGAATCTTTTCAAGTGAGTGACCCAGAAATGCTACCACAGAAGTCAGCACGTAGACAGTTCCTCTGAAAGGCCTCTGGAATGCCCCAAGCAAGAGAAAATGCGGAGAGTGACAAGAAGCTTCAAACATAAGACTGTTCATGACAATAAAACACTGCCAGAAGCGAGTGCCCAGGAATCTGAGAAAGACAGTAACCAGTGCTCTGATCCTGTAAATGAGAAAATTCAAGCTGATAAGAAACAGTATGTATGTACAGAGTGTGGGAAAGCCTTCAATCAGAGTGCGAACCTCACAGTGCATGAGCGAATCCACACGGGAGAGAAACCCTATAAGTGTAAGGAATGCGGGAAAGCCTTCAGTCACAGCTCCAACCTTGTCGTTCATCGGAGAATCCACACTGGCCTGAAGCCCTACAAGTGCAATGAATGTGGGAAATCTTTCAGTGGTAAGTCACACCTCATCAGACATCAGGGAATCCACAGTGGGGAGAAAATTTACGAATGTAAGGAATGTGGGAAAGCCTTCAGTCGGAGTTCTGGTCTTATTTCACACCACCGAGTACACACTGGGGAGAAGCCCTACACTTGTATTGAGTGTGGGAAAGCTTTTAGTCGGAGTTCAAACCTCACTCAGCATCAGAGAATGCACAAAGGGAAAAAAGTTTACAAGTGTAAGGAGTGTGGGAAAACGTGTGTTTCTAATACAAAGATTATGGATCATCAGAGAATTCACACAGGAGAGAAACCTTATGAGTGTGATGAATGTGGCAAAGCTTTTATTTTGAGGAAGACCCTTAGTGAACATCAGAGACTTCATCGCAGAGAGAAACCTTACAAATGTAACGAGTGTGGGAAAGCTTTTACTTCTAATCGAAATCTTGTTGACCACCAGAGAGTTCACACTGGAGAGAAACCCTATAAGTGCAATGAATGTGGAAAAACCTTCAGGCAGACCTCTCAAGTTATTCTACATTTGAGAACCCATACTAAGGAGAAACCCTATAAATGTGGTGAGTGTGGGAAAGCCTATCGGTATAGCTCACAGCTTATTCAACACCAGAGAAAACATAATGAGGAGAAAGAAGTTTCATCCTAAGCACTGTAGGTCTTAGAACTAACTGCTAGTTTCTGGAAAAGAAAGATTTTCTTTAACAGGGTTAGTATCATCAACTCTAACCCTGTTTCTAAGATTCCATGCAAGAAAATAACCAGAAGTAGATAAAGATTAATAAGGAATATTCACGCAAACATAGCATACCACTGGAGGAAGAAAACTATACTTTCAACTGCATAGGGTTTAAATGAAAGATGGTGTGTCTACAGTAGATTTTGTGGCCCTTGTGAGCATTTTCAAAGAAGAGCGAATCCCAGTGGGCAAATGTTTGGGTAAAGTGAAAGAAGGAAGAAAAATAATGAAGTATGGTTGAAAAACATTTTATGCATAGGCTAAAGGGAATGAAATAATACCAAACCAAAATGTTAGTAGTGATTAACTCTGGATGATAGATTTGCAGGTGATTTCTATTTTCCCTTTATACTTTTTTATGTTTTCTAGATTTGCTACAATGAGAATGTACTACTTTTTTATTCAGGGAAAATTTACAGTATTTTAAAAATGCAATTAATCTGTGATCCTTTTCATTGAACAGTGTTACAAAGACATGTAGAACTCTGAAATCTTCGGCACTTAGTAACTGTGGAACCATGAGCAAATCATGCCCTTTTAAGAATCTGTTTCCAGTTTAACAAAATTATAAACACCAGTCATTGGTCTTTTGCAGAGACTTTACCACTCTCGTAATGTATAACTAAATCACTGTTAGATTAATAAAGCACAGGAAAATTTGGCTGCAGTCTCCCTTTCCTTGGCTATAGAAAGATCTGCAAACAATTAAGAACAACTTGGGCTCTGGATGTGGCTTGTTAAAGTGTATGCCTTGCAATAAGACCATGAGTTTAACCCCTGGCACCACAAGAAGAAAAAATAAGGGGCTGGAGAGATAGTACAGTGGGTAAGGTGATTTGTCTTGCATGTGGCTGACCCTGCTTCTGTCCTCAGAGTCACATATGGTGCCTCAGACCCCACCAGGAGAGATCCCTGAGCACAGCAGAGCCAGGGGTAATCCCTAAGCACCACAGGGTGTGGCAAAATGAAAAACCAAGAAGAACCATCTAGACTGCATCACTTTGGTATATACGAAAAAGATCAGAAAATATTGTGCCCTTATAAACTGAAAAAATATCTGGTCCATAACCTATTTATTGAGCCAGCACAGCCTAAAACAAGGGAAAATTCTGATTAGCAGAGCTCAGGAGCTAAAAGAACAGACTTTGGGGTCAGAGACATGTTATGATCCCAGTCTGCCATCTTGTCAATCTGGGGTGTTTTTTAAATACTGTTTTTGTATTGGGGCCACACTTGGCAGTGCTCAGGGCTTACTAGCCCTGCACTCAGGGATCACTCCTGGCAGAGTCCAGAGGATCCTGTGGGGTGATGGGGAGAGAACCTGGGTCAGCCATATACAAGGTAAGTTGCCTCCTTGTACTATCTCTCTGGTCCCACTTGTCGATTTTGAATTAGGTACATATTCACCCTGAGCCTTACTGAGCCTTACTAGGAAAAAGGAGTCACTTCCTGCACCACTGGGTTGGGGGAATTGGGTGGACGTACATATGGTAAACCTGGCATATGGGAAAGAACCAGAGCTTTTATTTTTAATTTTTTAAATTTATTTTATTTTATAAAGTAGTTCACAATATTTGATTACATTTAATATTTGAATACCAATCCCACCACCGTTACACCTTTCCACCACCATATTTCGTATTTTTCCACCTGAATGTTGAGATGTTTCCACCCTGCCCCAAAGCAGAACTGAAATAATTTATTTTGTATTGTTTGTTATGAAAAACCGCTGAAAATGCTACAAAAAAGTTTCCTTAGAGGAAATGATTTCATAAACATGATGCCAATCTTCCTTGAGAAATTTAAACTTTTTCTGCCCCCATGTAATTAAATTTTAAGGATTATGTGTTTCTTCCTTGCTGTTACTGGAGTGAAAGAAGTAGCAGGTGTGAGGGAGTATTTGTGTAGAAAGGAATTGTCTGGTTTTGTTCTCTTTTAGGAAAGTGGCTCCTGTAATGTAGTAGTTTCCCTGGGTTTAGTTCTTCAAAGCAAGATTTGAAGGCTCTGGAACAGAGTCCCTTGAATGCAGTGATTAGGATGATAGTTGTTTCAAGTCACATTTGGGGAGACACTCCTGGATGGACAGGAGGATAGAGTAACCCACCCAGGTCTGTGGCTACACAGATAGCAGCTTAAGGGGGCTTCCCTGATTCCTCCTAAACTTCTTTTCCTCCCACCCTGTATACTTTTAAATAAAAAAAAGGTGTTTGCATTTTGTATTCCCTGCCTTTGAACTGCTGGAGACTTTTATTTTTGGAAGGTGAAGGCTGCAAACAGTGGACTCCTCCCAGGGATTCTTGGCTTCTTTAGTTCACTGAGCCAGCGATTCAAGGCAAGGGCCCAAGGATGTGGTGCTGCTCAAGCCCTGTGATGCTGTGGTTTACCTGAGCCATCCCAGTGGTGCTGAGGTCTCCAGAGCCACAGCAGCAGTGCTCTGGGAACCATCTGGTGCTACAGGTGGAACAGAGACTGGCAGGAATGTGCTTTAACATTTCTAATATTTCTAGTTCCACAGTATATTCTTATAGAAGATTAACCTTAAGTCCTTGCCAACTCTGACACTGCATGATTTATAGAGAAAATGTCGGGGAAGATAGAGGGGTGACAAGCATCTTAAATATGTGGTGGACCAAGTGCAAGGCCACTCTTGAATGGTCATGATTACCAGCCATGAAAGTGCTGGTTTCTTTTTGTCACTTTTTAACAAGAAATCATCACATCAATTTAGTTTATGAAAAACTGAAAATTTGTGAGGTCCTGGGGCTGGAGCAAATAGCACAGTGGGTAGGACGTTTGCCTTGCACGCGTCCGACCCAGGTTCGATTCCCAGCATTCCATATGGTCCCCCAAGCACTGCCAAGAGTAAATCCTGAGTGCAGAGCCAGGAGTAACCCCTGAGCGTTGCTGGGTGTGACCCAAAAAGCAAAAAGAAAAAGAAAAAAAAGAAAATTTGTGAGGTCCTGACTTCTAAAATCCCCACTCCAGATATGGCTGCTGGCCTAGACTTGTCATGCATAGAACACGCCCTTCCAGCAGTCTCTTCCAAGAAGCCTTCTGGCCAAGGTTTTGCTGAGCGGAAGCTGAAGCTGCCATATTTTATGACCGGTCACCCTATTTATCCCATAAGGAATCCCACAGGTGACTGAAGCAGAGTCAGCCCCTGGTCTAGCTTATCTCGAAGCCAGTATCATTCTCTGCTGTGGCCTAGCAGGGATGGTCCTAAAGGTCAGGCTACATAGGGCCCCCAAAATTGCTTGGGCCATATTTGGTGGTGCTCAGGGCTTACTGCTGGCTCTGTGCTCAGGGATCAGCCTAGACAGGGATCAGGGGACATCGTATGTGTTGCTTGGGACTGAATCAATGTGGACCAAGTGCAAGGAAAGTAACTTCTCCTTTGTATTATCACTTCAGCCATTGCCCTGCTGCAAGTCCTATTTGTCATTCTTTCAGGGGTGTCCTTGCAGATATTCTAACCCACTTCTTTTCTGGCTAAGTTTCAGAGAAAGCGAGGAGGCTGGAGATAATGGTGTGTATGTAGCATGGGTGTCACTTAAAGAGAACACAGATGGCCTATGCTTTCAGCCAATAAGCAGACACTTAATGTAATATCTAGAAAAACTTCCCTCAACGGAATACTTGCATTAATTACCAACCTGGGTTCGATTCCTCCGCCCCTCTCGGAGAGCCTGGCAAGCTACCAAGAGTATCTCGCCCGCAGGGCAAAGCCTGGCAAGCTCCCGTGATGTACTCCATATGCCAAAAACAGTAACAACAAGTCTCACAGTTTGTTGTGAGATGTTACTGGTGCCCGCTCGAGAAAATCAATGAACAACGGGAGGACAGTGCTACTCAAAAAACTTGTATCTTGCACCATCTCTTGGGCTGGAAAGATCCTCAATTATATTTTGTTCTGTTCCCCACCTCCCACTTTCCAGCCTAGGAAGATACGATACTGGCTACAGATCACCACTCTGGGGGGCCTTTCCAAAGCCTCCTGTGTTCAAGAACCATCCCATCCCGTATGCAAATACAGGGGGTGCAAGCTCCCCCTTTGGGATATTTGGGCCCGCTCCTTCAGGATGTGAAGCGTCCTGGGGTCTCGCCTCTTGCAGCCTTGTACTCTGGAATGCTGCTGTCCCGCACACCCTCTGTCTGGGCCCAGGCTCTCCAGGGCCCAGGCTGGTGGGTCCTTCTGGTCTCATCTGGGAAGAGGGGGGGGAACCATAGAGACGTGGTTTCCTAGAGGGGCGAGTTGGGGGGGGGGGGCGTCCCCGGTGAGCCACCGGAAGTCGTGAGAGCCGCGGGTCTGCCATTATTCCGGGCCTCGGCTGCCGTCGCGTCCGGTGCCATCTCCCGGCGTCCCGGCGGGTGAGCGGGTGGGCTGGGCGGAGTGAACCTTCCGCGCTGGGGGGCGGCGGGCTGGGGCGCGGAGCTGCCGACAGACCGTGCGGATCGGGGTGTGGCCGCGGGGTCCCGGTCACCGGCTGGGCTGCACTGGGGGCACCGCCGCGCCGCTCCCGGGGATCCCCGGCTTGGGTCCCTCTGCTCTGGCCCGGGGCTGCAGGTGCATCCAGAGGGACTCCTCCAGCTCGCGCCCGTGACTTCTGGGACGGCTTTTCTCTTACGTTTTATTTAAGGGATGGGCACATTGCCCTCTCTTCATTTCATCATCTAATGGTATTTCTTTTCTTTTCTTTTTTTCACTGAATCCCAATGAGAGACACAAGTTGCAAAGTTGTTCATGATTGGTTCCAGTCACGTAAGGCTCCAGCACTTCATGGTTTTTGCAGAGGCACACTCACACCACCCAGAAGCATCATTTAAGAGAAGTGTGTGTGTATATGTGTGTGCGCGCTCACGTGTGTGTGTGTGTGCATGCATGCATTTTAACGCTGAATACTAAGACCGTGAGCTCAGAGTAAATGCTGTCTTTTGTAAGGAAAGGCATTGCCAACCTGTCAGTGAGTGTAGTCACTTTGTTTTCTTGTGCCACTGTTCACTCCAGTAAGAATTGTTAGAAGTCGAACTCAGAACCTGTAGAGTAAGTATAGCCCTTGGCTTGCAGAAGTCTTGTCTTGGAGAGAAACCTAAGAGACTCTTAGCATGATTCAGATTCTACTCCCACACCTTAACTAGTGCAGTGGCCTTGAGCAGATCATTTTATCTCACCCATTCTTGGTTATTTCCTTTAAGTTTGTAACTCATAAACATTTTTTCTTTTTTTTTAAAAGAAGCAAGCAGAATACCTCTAGGATTTGGTTATCGTGGAATGTGCTCCAGAGTTTTGTTTCCCTAAACATTCTCTGCTCATCCTTTTTTCATTCTTTCCTTCACCAACCGTGGGCAACAACTTTGTATTTTCTTGTACTTTTGCCTTTTCCAGAACATCATGTTTTTGGAATGGTACGATATAGTCTTTCAGATTTGTTTCACTTGGCGACGTGCCTTTCAAGTTACCATCTTGTCTTTTCATGATTTTTTTTTTGTTTTGATTTGGTTTGATTTTGGAGCCATACCTGGTGATGCCCAGGGGTTACTCCTAACTCTGCACTCAGGAATCATTACTGGCAGTGCTTAGGGAACCATATGTGCTGCCTACGATCAAACCCGGTTGACTGCATGAAAGGCAAGCGCCCTACCCACTGTAGTATATTTCCAGCCCCCGGGTTTCTTTTTTAGTATTGGATCATATTTTGTCTGAATTTATCACAGTTTATCTATTCCTTTATTGAAAGATGTCTTGGTATGCTGCAGGTTTTTCTGTGCTACTTTGAGTGTATACCAAGGAAGTTTGATTACTGGACTGTGAGGTAAAAATATGTCCAGTTTTGTAAGAAATTGCCAGGCTGTTCCCCAAAGGTATACCACATTGCATTTCCACCAGCAGTAAATGAGGGCTCCTGTCACCCAAATGTTCTTCCCAGCATTGGGTATTGTCTGCATTTTGACTATATTGATAGGTATATAGTAGTACGCATTGTGTTTTGGGTTATTTTTGAATTTGTGGCCATGAGCAGGGGCCATATAAAGGGCGTTGGGGTTAGGCCACATCCAGTGTTGCTCAGGGTTTATTCCTGGCTATCTCTGGTACAGGGAGTGACCCTGGGGTTGCTTAGGAAACCATCAAAAGAAAAAAGCACAAATGTAACTAAAAATTAATTGGCAAGAGCATTCATTACAGCATAATTTATAATAGAAAAAAATTATTTGTAAATAATTTGTATACCTTACAAATAGGGAATTGTGAATGGGTTTATTCGTTTAGAAATAATGATGACTTGAACTTAATCCTCTCCTAAGTCCCTCTCTAGCTAGAAAGTTTCTGTGTCCTCTACTTTCCAATAAGTTTTTTTGTTTCCAACTTTGGAAGCTTATTCTTTTCAAATAGGCTGTCAGGAAAAAAAAAATAGGATGATCAAGAGGGCCAGAGAGATAGTACGGCAGGCACAGCTCTTGCCTTACATGTGATTGACCTGGGCTTGATCCCAGTACCAAACTAGGTCCCCTGAGCACAGAACCAGGAGTAATTCCTGAGCACAATTAGGTATAGCCCCCATCTCCCCACCAAAAAAAGCTGAAGGATACTTAATATTGTATTAGCAGCATACTACATATAAAGAAATTATAGTTGATTCTAACCTGTGATCTAAATTGGTACATAGAAAAGGGCTGGGAAAATGAAATTCAAAGTAATAATGGTCATTGTCTAGTTTTGCATGTGTTTTCTAATTTAAAATTTTTTATATTTGGGGCCAGAGAAATAGTACAACAGGTAAGGGTTTTTGCAGGAGTGGGGACTCTGGCTCAAGGACCTGTAAGTCCCATAAAATCCTATGGTCTGGACCTGGAACATGGAACATGATGGGACAGACACATTCATATATGTCTCATTGTCTGTCTGAGGCCCATCTGCCTACATCATAAAACCCAGGAATGATAATATAAATATCCAACTGGCCCTTGGCAGAATAAAAGGCTCTCAACCTATGGCTAGAACACTATTCAGGGAGGTTCTCTTCATCAGTGAGAGAGGACAGGGGCAACTTGTGGTTATTTGTTATTTGTCATGGTTAACTTTAACAATTATTTGTCAGGTCTTGTGGATCATGTGCTTCAAGCTCTAAGGAAGAAGTTAAGCAAGGATTGGGAGCGCCTGTAGAGGAGCCTTTCTTGAAGGACGACAATGACAAGGGAAATTTGGCCCCACAATGCTCTGAGACAGGAAGGTCTTATTAAAGGAAAAGATGACACTTGGAAATGGGGGACCAGCTTCCAAGGGAGCAGCTCCTCCGTTTGGGAAACTTCCCACCTGCACTTCAGACGCTTACGTTACCACGACACATCTGGACCCCAGGAGGCACTCAGCCGCCTCAGGGAGCTCTGTCGACGGTGGCTGAGGCCAGAAGCTCGCACCAAGGCTCAAATCCTGGAGCTCCTGGTTCTAGAACAGTTCTTAAGCATCTTGCCCGGGGAGATTCGGACCTGGGTACAGATCCATCGCCCAGGGAATGGTGAGGAGGCTGTGGCCCTGGTAGAGGAGCTGCAGAAAGACCTCGATGGACCCACACTAAAAGTGAGAGAGGAGAGGGTAGAGAACTGAAGCAGGGCTGGAGGGCACCGATGATTTTTAATAACAGTTCGTAGCACATGGGCAACCCTACTGCTAATTCAAGCAATGAGTTCATGCACCATTCAGAACATCAGATATCCGCAGAGAAATGGATGTGTGATTGGGGTCTTTGAGCTTAATCTAGAGTCAGCGTAAAGGCACTGCCTGTGCTTTGACCCCCTAGGGGACGCTTGATAGTCCAGAGTTGGGTACAGAAACCGGAGCAACATAATATATCTATACCTAAGTGTTCTTAGAACAGAAGCATATGAACTCTTTGTATGTCTTTTTGAAATGACATTAGCCTGGAATAGAAAAGGCAGCAGGACAGCAAGAAGCTGTCTTCATCTGGCAAGACCTCCCCATTAGACTCAGAACTTGGGGCAGTGTCATGAGGGGATTTAGGGAGACAGTTCAAAGAGCTGAGCGTATTCCTTGTATGTGAAGTTTGAGCTTGAGCCTTACGTGACAACCAAACACTGCCAGGTGTAACCTGGGAGAATCCTCAAGTCAAGCCCTGGTAGGGGTGACTTTGGTGTTGCCCCAGCACTTGCCCCAGCACTTCTGTCTCCTGGCATTGATCTGCCCAGCCTGACTGGCTGAGCATTACCCGAATGGCTCCCAGTCCCTGTGAGCATTGCTTAGGATCCCTCTTACACATACACAGATGCCAAAAGGTTGGGTAGAGATGTTTTTGTTTCTGAGAAGCTTTTATTGTTTACATTAAAATGGGGTCTTATATTTATATAATTAAAGTTATATTTTTTAATATGTGTAAGGTCTTTGTTGGTCTGTGGCCCACTTGCAACATTTTTATTTAAGAAATCTGAACCATAACTTAAATTTGAGAGTGGCACAAAGTGGTACAAAGGAAAGAGTTAACCAAGAAGATGAAGAATTTCATTACAAGTCACTATCCTTTTAATTTTATAAGAAAATGGAGACAGGGACCGGAGCAGGAGTACAGTGGTAGGTTGTTTGCCTTGCACACCACCGACCCAGGTTCAATCCCCAGCATCCTTGAGCACTGCCAGAAGTAATTCCTGAATACAGAGCCAGGAGTAACTCCTGAGCATCGCCAGTTTGACCCAAAAAGACCAAAAAAAAAAGAAGAAAGAAAATGGAGATAGAAACTGGGAGGTGGCTCAGAGGGTTGGGGCGGCGTGTCCAGCATGCAGAAGTTCCAAGTTCAGTTCCTGGCACTGCGTGGTCCCCATAGCTGTGCATCGCTGGCCCTAACAGTACCACCTGACACACAGCCAGGCTGAATAACACCAGGAATGGCCCTGAGGCCCCCTGACACTGATTGTCAGCATCTCACCCCTCCCCCAATCTCCACTCCCCTAAATAAAGAGCGTAAAGAAAAATAGAGGCAAGGGCCACGGTAGAACACAGGTCTTCCATATACGAAGCCCTGGATTTGATGCTTGGTAGCACATGGCTCTCAGGAACATCATCAGGCATTGGCCCACAACAATAACAAAAAGAGTGGGGACCAGGGAGATAGCTCAGGTTGTTAATAGAGTTCCTAGCTTGTTGGAGACAGTTCTCTCTTGGCACCAAATATCTCCCCCTGAGCATCACTGGTCATGGCCCTGTTGTACCTCCCTTCCAACCAAACACAGCTGGGCATGATCCCTATTAATAAAACACAGCAGTCACCGGATTGCCTTGGGTCAGACATCTAGCTAGTAGCAAGGCCAAGTGTCTGGCTACCACTGTATTGTTTCTTCTGTGTGAGAAGAAAGTAAAGGGGTAAATGAAGAGAAGATCGTTTGGTCTCATTGGATGTAAAGCCAAAATTTATGCTCCTGTTTTGGGGGTGGGGGGTTACTTCCAAGTAGTGCTCTGAGGACCGCCGAAGTGATTGAATTATGGGGCCCTGCGGATGTGGTGCTGTAAGGGGACCAACCTGGGCCTCATTGACAGTGTTCAGAGGCCTCCAGGGCTACACCCAGCAATGATGGCAGGCCATGTGGTACCAAGGATCAAATCTGGATCAGGTGCTTACAAAATGTATCTTGGCCACTATACTCCCTCCTCAGCTCTAAGACTCATGCTCTTACTTAATGTCTGTTACTAGTAAAGGAAAAGCACTCCTTAACTCGTTCTCAGGTGTGGTGGAAACTTGTTTCCATTTTTCTACTCTGTCTCTTCTGGGAGTGGTCCCTAGTGCCATAAGCAGGGAGAGGAGATAGCTCTGTTCTCTCGGCAAAGCTTTTCTGCTGTTTTGATTCCCCACACTTGAAGTGTCTCTCTCTGTACAGAAAGGTGCATGATGCATAGGTAAGTCTATTTTCTGGGGCTCCAAGAAGAGCCAGCTTATTTTGTCCTGTTTGTTCCCAGCTTCCAGGCATTACCCGGGACCAGGACACTCTCCAGGAGGGGATGGGCGCTCCAGGAGCAGCACTTTGGCAGACTCCCAATGACAGCCACTTCTCAGCTGAAATTTGCCCTAATCGTCTTACTGATCCAGTGGTGTCCAAACTCCAGGAGCCGCTGCATGGTATCTAATCAGTGTCTTGGGCTTTGGATTCTCAGGATGCAAACTGTGGCTCACCCCTCCCCGGATAGGTGCTTCCTTTCCTTCCTGCGCCGGAATCCCTTCTAGTACCAGGCCCTTGCTGCTCTTTTTCTCTTGTCCTTTCCTGACCCCCTCTGACATGCTGTCATTCTTCCTGCTGCTCTTTGCGTTAGTCTAACCCTGCATAGAAGGGTCACTCATAAAGGGTTTGCAGATCATTTTCTAGCTAAAATTAGGCCCTTTTTTGGGGGGGAGGGGAATGGAGAGGGACTTTAAATCACACACCTGGCGATGATCAAGGGTTTATTCCTGGCTCTGCACTCAGGAGTTACTCCTGGAAGTGTTTGGGGACTATATGGGATGCCGGGGATCAAATCCAGATCAGCTATGTGGGCAAATGCCCTACCCATTGTACTGCCACTTTGTACCCATAAGAGTTATGTCTTAAGTAGTCTAATAGTTAGGAGTTTTTTCTTCTTCCTTTATTTTGGGTTTTTTTTTGGGGGGGGTCACATCTGGTGATACTCAGAGGCTATTCCCAGCTTTGTGCTCAGGAGTCACTCCTGGCAGTGCTCAGGGGGACGTATGTGGTGCTAGTTGTCACACCCAGTCCTCTTGTCCTCTTGCATGCAGAGCATGCACTCAGACGTTGAGCTCTCTCTGCAGTGCTGAATTTCTTACTTGGGCCTGCAGAGATGGGCAGGACTGGCAGCAGTATCACGTTCAGCTTTTTTTTTTCTTTGGGTCACACCCGGTGATGCACAGGGGCTACTCCTGGCTCTGCACTCAGGAATTACCCCTGGCGGTGCTCAGGGAACCATATGGGATGCTGGGAATTGAACCCGGATTCAAGGCAAACGCCCTACCTGCTGTGCTATTGCTCCAGCTCCCAACGTTCAGCTTTTTATCTCTTCTCAGATGCTCCTGCCCCTGAGGCTTCTGCCCCTTCCCAAGAAGAGAACCCAAGAAATCAGCTAATGGCACTTATGCTCCTAACAGCCCACCCCCAGGTAAGGTTACCCTCGGCGCTTCTGCCTCTGGCTCCTTTGCACTCCCTGATTGTGGACCAGGTATCCTCCCTCACCGAGTGCCTATGTCCAGTTTCCATCTCCATGCCCAGGTACATGCCATGGGAAAGTAGAATTTCGTGGTCTCCTTAGGTCTCCCTGATAATGTTGTTCACTTTGTGGCCTCATCATGTGTCCCTTCCCCAGAACTAAGGAAATATTTCAGAAAGGGATGTGAGTAATCTCACACATACATCGTATTTCAGGAGTTGGTGATGTTTGAAGAGGTGTCAGTATGCTTCACTTCAGAGGAGTGGGCATGCCTGGGCCCAATTCAGAGGGCCCTGTACTGGGATGTGATGCTGGAGAATTATGGAAATGTGACCTCTTTAGGTAAGGTCCTTTTCTTTATTCCATCAGTCTGTTTTCTGATTATAAACATAACATGTATTTGTTTTGGACAGCACTGATACATAATTAGAAAGAGGAAAAACCTTCCTTAAACCAACTATTTGCAGGCAACCACTAAAAACTTATACCTTTTTTTGATATTTGAGGGCTTTTCTTGTTTTTTTTTCCCCCCTGGAGATGTAAAAGGTAGTACTCATAGGCTATTCCTGGTTCTGAGCTCGAGTGACTCCTAGCTGTGTTCAGGAGACTTTATGTGATGTTGGGGCTTGAACTGGGGTGAGCTGCATAAAAGGCAGTTGTAGTATCTCTCCAGCCCTGAGCTAAGCGTCTCTGAATGATGTACATAGAGTTATGCAGCTTGTTTTTCTTTGCTTTCTCCTCTCGTATTCCTAGGCATTTCTTATAAATATCTAGATTTGCTATATGATTTGATACATATATGTTGCCATTTCTTATTGTAGATAATTGCTATAATAATAATAATCATCTATCTTTCTTTATATTGGTTTTTGGGTCACACCTGGCAATGCTCAAGGCTTACTCCTAGCTTTGCACTCAGGAATCGCTCCTGGTGGTGTTTAGTGGACCATATGGGATGCCGGGGATGGAACCTGTGTCAGCCATGTGCAAGGCATGGCCTACCAGCTGTACTGTCACTCTAGCCCCAACTTTTTTTTTCCTTTTTAGGTCATACCCTAAAAAGGCATTGCACAGGTATTACTCCTGGTTTGCACTCAGGAATTACTTCTGGTGGTGCTCAGGGGACCATATGGGATGCTGGGAATCAAACCCGGGTTGGCTGTGTGCAAGACAAACGTCCTACCCGCTGTGCTATATCACTCCAGCCCCTGGCCCCAACGTTTTAATACTTTTCAGAAGTAGAATTACTGGCCCCCTGATGTTTGAACTTTTTTTCTTCCCGCTTGGAGACCTCCCAGGATTTTCTCAGAGGTCACAGGGTCAGTGGTTCAGTGCAAGGGCGTGAGGATGTCTTGTTGCTCGAGTGCTACACCAGTAGAGATATACCTGAGTCACCCCAGCAGTACTTTTGGATCCACAGTGGTCATAGCCAGTGGTGTGCAGGGGGCCTCCAGGGCCGCTCCTACTGATGCTTGGGGGAACCAGGTGCCGGGGATTGAACTCACTTTGGCTGCGCTTGCACCCGAACTGGTGTGCTCTCTTCATGGTCTGGCATTTAGATTCTTGCTCTGCACGACTCACTTGCTATATGCACTGACCTCTGCTTCCTCTGCTTTTACATAAGAATGCTGCTCTGGATCTGCCTGCATTGGCCTGAGTAATTCCATTCTTTTAAGTAGTTGCTATATAAATTTTTAAGTTATATTCTCCATTCTTAAGTAGATTTCTTTAATTAGTCACGGTCACGGTCCTCCCGTTGTTCATCGATTTGCTCGAGCGGGCCCAGTAACGTCTCCATTGGAGACTTTGTTGTTACTGTGTCTGGCATATCGAATACAACACGGGTAGCTTGCCAGGCTCTGCTGTGCTGGCGAGATACTCTCGGTAGCTTGCCAGGCTCTCCAAGAGGGGTGGAGGATTCGAACTCGGGTCGGCCATATTGGCTGCGTGCAAGGCAAACACCCTACCGCTGTGCTATCGCTCCAGCCCCTTCTTTAATTAGTAATTCTTTAATTAGTACTAAAAGTATTTGGCAGGGAGGTGCCTTTCAATTGGTGCTTAGGGTGCCCAGGGGCCATTCCAGCAGTTCTTTGCCAGCTAGGTAAATAGTTTGGGGTTTTTTTGTTTGGTTTTTGGTTTTTGTTTGTTTTTTGGTATGTGTGAAGGGGGGATTGTTTCAGCCACATGTTTGTGGGGCTGAAGGTTTCTCCTGGCTCTGTGCTCAGGGATTGCTCTTGCTGGGGCTCAGGGTGTCTCTGTTCTGGGGTGTCACAGGCCCACAATGACCTGAGGGTCCCCTGGTGCATTTGAGGTGGCAGACCAATGAAAGAAAGGGGGCCACTAGACTGGTGGGTAATCAGTGGCCATTTATTCAAATCTCACAGCATTACTTATAGAGAAATCATGAAAGGTTGGGGGTAGCAATTACACATAGGTGTGGTTGGGCATTATCTTAAACAATGAACAGATGTAAAGCCCTTACTCAAGTGAAGAACCTCATCTAAGGGTTCAGCCTCTAATTTCCTGCTAGGAGATCCACCATAAGGCAGAATTCTATCTAAGGGCATATTGCTTTCTCCTTTCCTTAACCAGTATCTATTTAAACAATCATCTTAAATTTGCTTCTTACTAATATTTCCAGTCATTTCGTATGTATATAATTATAGAATTCAATTATTATATTGTATATACTATATTTTTTGACTGACTTGTTTCACTTTTCATAGTGTTCTCAAGGTTCATCCTCTCACCGTATTAATTTCTTAATGCTGAATTATATCGCACTGTATGGATTTATCACATACCCATACATCAGTGTATGAACATTTAAGATTCTTCTGTCTTGGAGCTATTTTGGAAAAAATCAGCAGCTGTATGAAGGTTTTTGTATGGACATGTTTTCATTTCTCTTCAGAAATAAAAATGCTGGGTCATATATTAATGTTGTCATTAGTAAATGTTTTCCAAACATGCTGTGCCATTTATGTTTTCACTAGCAGTCTAAAGGGTTGTAATTTATTCAAATGCTTGGTAGTGTGTTATCTGACTTTCTGATTTTAGCCACCCTTTTGAGACTAAAGTTATACCTTATTGTATTTTATAATTCCTTGATAGCTATTGGCTTTTAGCAGCTTTTCGTGTACCTTCTGTGTTTATCTGTATGTCTTTCAAAGACTTTTTCTGTTTTTTCTTTTCCTTTTTGGGACATACTCAGAGTCGCTCATGGCTTACTATGGCTCCGTGCTTGGGGCGTCACTTTTGGCAGTGCTCTGGAAACCTTATGGGATTCCAGGGATTGAATTCAGGTCAGCCCCCTGGTTGTGTGCAAGGCTAGCACCCTACCTGCTGTACTATAGTTCTGGCCCCAGCCTTTCTCTGTTTTAAATTGAGTTATTTGTTGTTAGTATTGAGTTTTAGGAGTTCTTAATCTGTCCTACATATGAGTACCTTATTAAATATATGTCTTTCAGTTATTTTTTCCCATTCTGTCATCTGTCTTCGCTTTCCTGGTGGTATCACTGTATCACTGTCATCTTGTTGTTCATCGATTTGCTCAAGCGGGTGCGAGTAACTTCTCCATTCGTCTCAGCCCTGAGATTTTAGCAGCCTCTCCTTACTCGTCCTTCCCAACAGTGCTGTATTGGAGGCTCTTTCAGGGTCAGGGGAATGAGACCCGTTATTATTACTGTTTTTGGCATATCGAATATGCCATGGGAAGCTTGCCAGGCTCTACCACACAAGCAAGATACTCTCGGTAGCTTGCTGGGCTTCAATCAGTGGTAAGCTTTAGAAACACAGAAATTATTATTTGGGTTAAGTTCCAGTTTGTTTGTAGTTTAGTGTCATATTTAAATCATGTCTAATTCAAGGTCATGAAGATTAATGCGTGTTTTCTTCAAAGAATTTTAGTGTTTTCACTTGGTCCATTTTGAGTTAATTTTTGTAAATGTGTGAGGTAAGCCTCCAACTTAATTCTTCCCATGTGGTTCTTTATACCAGCACCATTAGTTCACTATTGAATTGTTTTTGACATCCTTTCAAAAATTAGTTACCATGAAACTGAACTGTCAATGTAGCAGTGGTGACCAATAGCGCCCCTGGTACCCACACATCACAGAGCCAGTCACTGTCAGACCCTGAGTATCACTGGGGATTCCTATCTTCTTTTTCATAGAGTTTGTTTCTGAACTCTTACTTCTATTTCTTTGATCGTATGTCTTTCTTATGTCGCGGACATCCTGTCTTATTTTTGTTAACATTGTTGTATATTTTGAAATCAAGAATTATGACTCCTCCAATTTAGTCTACATTATTTTAGTTATTCTAGGTCTCTTTTGTTTCCATGTGGTTTTAGAATCCTTTTGCCAGTTTCTGTGATGAAGCCAGTTGGTATTTTGCAGTTTGGTTTTGTTTTATCCTTTGAGAGACTACCTACCAGAATATGCTTAGAGGTGGGTGAAATTGTGTGATGCTGAGGCCTGAACTCCATGCTCCGGCCCTTTGGGCTGTGTGTCTAGCTCCTGTAGTTTTCCTTGTGTGATAACTTGTTCTCATTTTGATGTCAGGGTAAAACTAGAATGGGTTGAGAGGTATGTCTGCCTCCTCACTTTAGTGAAAGGATCGCTGGATAGCAAGTGCTGGAACGATAGCAAGGGCTGGAGCGATAGCACAGCTGTAGGGCATTTGCCTTGCATGCAGCCAGCCCGGCCAAGCCGGGTTCAATTCCTCCACCCCTCTCAGAGAGCCCGGCAAGCTACCGAGAGTATCTCGCCCGCACAGCAAAGCCTGGCAAGTTACCCGTGATGTATTCAATGTACCAAACACAGTAACAACAAGTCTCACAATGGAGGTGTTACTGGGCCTGCTCGAGCAAATCGATGAATAATGGGAGGACTGTGACCGTGACTTAATTTTTTTATTACTATTGAAAGTTTACAGTAATGTTAACTGTGTGTTTGATTTAATGATACTGCATCTCCACTACCATCAAAGTACTCCAAACCTGCCACCGCTGTCTTTATGTCACTCTTTATTTCATCCTTTTCCCCCCTCATCTCAGTCTCCCAAATACCACTGGGAGTAGTCCCTGAGCACTATCAGGTGTGTCCACCCCTGCCTCTGCCCCTCCCCACACACACCCCAAAAGGCCAAAAAACAACTTGGCAATCTCAGTTCTGTTTTCAGGGTCCAAGGCTGTTGTTTTGTTTTGTTTTTATTGGCTATTGACCATTCTTTTTTTTTTTTTGAAATTTAGTCACTGTGAAATTGCAAAGTTATACATAATTTGGTTTCAGGTATACAATATTTCAACACTTATCCCTTCACCAGTGGCCATTCCTTTTCTTTGTTTCTTTATATCACACATGTGAGTAAAATCATTGGCATATTTCTTTTCCCTCTTTGTAATTTCCTTGTTATGATCCCCTTAATTGCTAAGTTGTAGTGAAAAGGAAGATTTTTATCTAGAATTAATATTGTTTAAATGTTTGGTAGCTTTTACCAGTGAAGCAGTCTGGTCCTGGGCTTTTCTTCGTGGGTATTTTTAAAATCATTTTTACTAACTACATTTCTTAAGTTTTTCTAAATCTGTATAGATTTTTAAATTTATTCTTGAGTCAGTTTTTTGTGTGTGTTGTGGAGGATGTTTGGACTAGTGCTTATGGGCTATTGCTGGCTTGGTGATCAGGGGCTACTGCTGGCTTTGTGACTAGTAACCTCTGGTGGTGCTTGGAAGACCATACTGCCAGGGATAGAGGTGGCCAGTTATATGCAAGGCAAGCATCTAATCTGCTGGAATATCTCTCTGGCCCAATATACTAATCAAATAATTCAAACCATGCCTGACCATAGCTTGGGTTTGATGTATAAATTGTAATCATAAAATTGATTTTTAGTGGATTTTTTGGTAGGTTAATTATTTTAAAATAACTAGAACGTACGGGTTTTTGAGGGAAGCCAGGAATTAAATCTAGGGCCTCATAATACAGTCTATTGCTGAGCCATATCCCCAACCTTTTTGTTTGTTTTAGCCTTATGTGTGAACCACTTACATATTTCATATTGGTTTTTCTCCCTCTGTTTTTTCCTCACATAACTATTTATGACATCGTCAGTGTAGCATTCTTCTTTGTGACTTCATTTGATGAAAAGTTGCTTCCCTTTATTGAAGGGGGTAACTCCCACCTGGTGCTCAGGAGCCTCTTCCAATGATTCTCACCAACCAGACTGGCAGTGTGAAGTGAAGGCACAAGATTGCAGTGCTACAAGGGCCCAGAGGTGCTGGAGATTACTTGGGCTACCCAGGTAGCGTTCAAGACCGCTTGAGCTACCTCCTGCACTGCTTGAGGAACCATGTGGTGGCAGGATAGAACCAGGATTGACCACATGCATGTACCCTAAACCCTATTCCATCTTTCCTGCCCTGGCCTCCTTTTTGAATTCATATGAAATTGTACCTCTTTCACTGTTTTTGTTTTGTTTTGTTTTGTTTTGAGGTACACCTGACTGTGTTCAGGGCACACAGGCCCTGAACTCCTGGTATACTTGGGGCACCATATAGGGTACTGGGGATCAAAACTGGGTAGGATGTTTGCAAAGTACACACCCACGTAGTATCTCTCCAAACTCCCCATTTTTTTAAAAACCATTAAAAAAAACTTGTCGTCATTAACACAGAAACATGTTAACATTTGAGTTTTATTTTTAGTTATTTTTGTTTTGTTTTGTTTTTGGGCCTTACCCAGTGATGTTTTGAGTGTTATTCCTGGCTCTGCCCTCAGGAATTACTCCTGGCGGTGCTTGGGGGCCCATGTGGAATGCTGGAGAGTGAACCTGGGTTGTGCAAGGTTTGTGCAAGGCTGTGCAAGGTTGGAGATTGTAAGGCAAGCACCCTACTGGCTGTACTGTCTTTGCTGTACTACCTTTCCAACCCCTAACATTTGCGTTTTTGTTCCTTTTTAACAGAGTGGGAGACCATGACTGAGAATGAAGAAGTGCAATCAAAATCCTGTATATCTCAGAGAGCAGATTCTCTAAAAGGAACATCAAAAAGTCTTCAGGGTAATGATCCTCCAGTCCTTCATGTTCTGGAAGAGTATGAATGGCAAGTTCTGTCAAATCATTGGGGAAATAAAACAGGGGAAAAAGAGATGCTGCAGAAAGTTTCCCTTTTTGGAGGAAGCAGGAAGAATCAAACCCAGCCAGAAAAACAAAACCAAAAGTGGAAGGAATATGGAGAAAACTTAACTTTACTTTCAGCTCTTTCTGAAAATTTAATAGCTGCTGAAGAAAATAAGTTTTATAAATGTGATATATGTTGTAAACATTTCAATAGAGTCTCCCATCTGATAAACCATCGGAAAATCCACACTGGTGAGAAACCTTATAAATGTAAGGAGTGTGGAAAAGGCTTTATTCAGCGCTCAAGTCTTCTGATGCATTTACGGAACCATTCTGGGGAGAAACCTTATAAATGTAATGAATGTGGGAAAGCCTTCTCTCAAAGTGCTTACCTTCTTAATCACCAGAGAATCCACACTGGGGAGAAACCTTACAAATGTAAAGAGTGTGGCAAGGGCTTTTATAGGCAATCAGGCCTTATTATACATCTAAGGCGCCATTCTGGGGAGAGACCTTATAAATGTAATGAGTGTGGGAAAGTATTTTCTCAGAATGCCTACCTCATTGACCACCAGAGGCTTCACAAAGGGGAAGAACCTTATAAATGTAACAAGTGTCAGAAAGCATTCATTCTGAAGAAGAGCCTCATTCTCCATCAGAGAATTCACTCAGGGGAAAAGCCCTATAAATGCAATGAATGTGGAAAAACCTTTGCCCAGACCACTTACCTTGTTGACCATCAGCGACTTCATAGTGCCGAAAACCCATACAAATGTAAAGAATGTGGGAAAGTTTTCATTAGGAGCAAAAGCCTTCTTCTACACCAGAGAGTCCACACAGAAAAGAAAACCTTTGGCTGTAAAAAATGTGGCAAGATTTTTAATTCTAAGTCAAGCCTGGTTGACCATAAGAGGATGCACAGCAGAGAGAAACCTTATAAATGCACTGCATGTGGGAAGGCTTTCACTCAGAGTGCTTACCTGTTTGACCACCAGAGACTCCACAATGGAGAGAAACCCTATGAATGCAATGAATGTGGGAAAGTTTTCATTCTGAAAAAGAGTCTCATTTTACACCAGCGGTTCCACACTGGAGAAAATCTCTATGAATGTAAAGACTGTGGCAAAGTCTTTGGTTCTAATAGAAACCTCATTGATCATGAGAGGCTTCACAATGGAGAGAAGCCCTATGAATGTCGAGAGTGTGGGAAAACCTTTGTTATGAGCAAAAGTTTCATGGTCCATCAGAAACTCCATACCCAAGAGAAAGCCTACAAATGTGTGGACTGCGGAAAGGCTTTCAGTTACAATTCAAGCCTGCTCGTCCATCGGAGAATCCACACTGGGGAAAAACCTTTCGAGTGTATTGAGTGTGGAAGAGCTTTCAGTTCTAATAGGAACCTCATTGAACATAAGAGAATTCACAGTGGTGAGAAGCCCTATGAATGCAATGAGTGTGGCAAGTGCTTCATTCTGAAGAAAAGCCTCATTGGACATCAGAGGATCCACACAAGGGAAAAATCTTACAAATGCAATGAGTGTGGGAAAGTTTTCAGTTACCACTCAAACCTTATAGCCCATCAGAGAATCCACACCGGTGAGAAGCCCTATGCTTGTAACGAGTGTGGAAAAGGCTTTACTTACAATAGAAATCTTATTGAACATCAAAGAATTCACAGTGGGGAAAAAACTTATGAATGTCACATTTGTAGAAAGGTTCTTACCTCTAGTAGAAATCTTATGGTACATCAAAGAATTCACACTGGAGAGAAACCTTATAAGTGTAATGAATGTGGAAAAGACTTTAGTCAGAATAAGAACCTTGTTGTACACCAGAGGATGCACACTGGGGAAAAACCATATGAATGTGAAAAATGTCGAAAGTCTTTTACATCTAAGAGGAATTTAGTTGGTCACCAGAGAATTCACACAGGGGAAAAGCCATATGGGTGTAATGATTGTAGTAAAGTGTTTAGGCAAAGAAAGAACCTTACTGTACATCAGAAAATTCATACAGATGAAAAATTCAGTGAATGTAGCAAATCTGAAAAAGAATTCTCTCAGACTTCAAACCTTCACTGTCAACAAAACCTACATACTTTGGGAGAATTCTCTTGGCTCCAGAATGCGAATGAGTCCCAGAGAGAGATTCCGATGTGTAAAATGGAATAAAAATCCCTGTATGCTTATATAACCATTAAGAGAAATGGCTGTATGTTGTCTCTAAGGCAGAGATCATAATTGACCCTTATATCGAACAAGTGAATTGCACATAGAAAAAAATTAACCTAGACTTTTAAGACCATAAAAATAAGCCAAAATCTAGGTAAAGGATACACCATTCCACAAATTTTTTTTGTGGCTCCAGAAAGAGACCTTCAAGAATGATGAAGAAACTAAGTTAAGTCTTACAAGATATAATGGTAGTAGTTGTAAATAATAGCAGAAATATCTTTGTATTAAAGAGCGGTCCTTATTTCTGGAAATATGTTTATAATACAGTTTTAAAAGAGCATCACTGCAACAGATAATCTGTCTATAATCAATGCATGTCATCAGGCCAAGGATAGATAGTTGAAGGGCATGTCTTGCATGTGCCAGGCCCCAAGTTTGATGCTGTTACAGAATACCTCCTTCCTCCTCCAGCACCTGAGTTGACCTTGCTGACTCACAGCACCACTGGGCTCAAGTCCTGAACTGTCAGGCCTGCATAATTGGGCCACATAGCCCTGCTGGCCTGCCCACCTTTCCAGGGGAAAAAATGACCTGTCAGACATGAAGTTTGGTGGGCAAGAGTCTGCTACTGAGAACAACTTAAGATCATCAGATTCAGAATGAGGAGACCTAGGTTTGGATCTATGATCTCTCATTCTAGGTAATGTGATGCTATTAAGTCATCCTCTTAATAGAGTCTTTAAGACTTATAGAGTCTTTAAGACTCTATAAATCAAATGTTGAGATGATGCCCACTTCACAGTGTTGTTGTGACAATTAAATGAAAGGATCTTTGTATTAGTATTTTGTGTAATAATTTAGTTGTCAATAAAATTGGATTAAAATGTCAAAATTTAGGACATGGAACAATGCTTTTATTAACATCTAACTCTGTTAACCTCAAAATTCATTTTTATAATAAGAGGACTTGGAATTTAATTTTTTGTGTGAGTTACATCTCTGGTGCTTTGTGATATCTTAGGACCACATCCACTAATTCTCCCAGGTGATATAGAGTGCTGGGAATTGAATCCAGGGCCTCACACATAGAAAGAATGTGTTCTCCCCCTGAGCCAAATCCCTAACTCCTTAACTTTGAATTTGGATTCTAAGGAGGCTTACAAAATAAAACCTTTTTGTTTTTGTTTTGTGGTCATGCCTGGCAGTGTTCAGAACTTAATCCTGGCTTGTGCACTCATTAATCACTCCTGATAGACTCTGGAGATTTTATGAGGTGCTGGGATTGAACCCAGGTCAGCTGTGTGCAAGGCAAAACAAGATAGTATCTGCTGAACTGTCACTCTGGTCCCAGAAAAATGTTTTAAAATGTTTACAGAAGTTAATAGATAACAAACCTAGTTTGTTTTTAAGAGCATTGGGTTTTTATAAAAAAATATGTTACGGGGCTTGAGAGATAATACAGTAGGTAGGGCATTTACCTCACACACAGCCAACCCAGGTTCAATCCTCAGCATCCTATATGGTCCCTGAGCATGGTCAGAAGTAATTCCTGAGAGCAGAGTCAGGAGTAACCCCTAAGCATCACTGGGTGTGGCCCATAAACCAAGAAAGAAAAATATGGGGCTGCAGCAGTAGTATAGAGTGTAGGGGCACTTGCCTTGCATTTGGCCAACACAGATTTTGACCTGGCATCCCATATGATCCCTCAAGCCCATAGGAGTGATCCTGAGCACAGAGCCAGGAGTAAGCCCTGGGCTGTGCTCAGTGTGTCCCTCCGCCTGAAAATATGTTGAGCCATTAACATGCCAATGAAAACCTCTTTAACCTTCAGATTTGAAATAAAACAGTTCTGTGTGAAAATAGAATGGCAGACCCATGTTACTTTCTTTGTAGGGGAATGCCTTAACCTAGTGCCCTAAACTAGTGATTTCCTTCCACTGTCATTCTCATTTCTAAGTAACATTTTACTGACATTCTTGTTATTTATTTACTTTTCACAGAAGCAGTATTTTCAAGATAGAATTAAACTGTTTGAGAATCTATCACTGGACAGTTAGACTCATTTTTGTGAAATTTCTCATGAAACATTCAGTCCATTCCCTTTTGTTCATTTGTAAATTTAATTCATCCTGTTTCTGAGTTAATTTTATAATTTTGAAACTTTCATTCAGCAACTTGACTATAAATGCCTTTGTAGGAGGATTGGCTTATTAAATACAGATAGTATTAAAGTCATGTGCTGAGTATAATAAATATTAATTCAGCCCCATTCTTCCTTGATGGCTAATTCCTTATTTTCCTGTGAAAACTGGCAGGGGTCCACTCTTTAAAGTCTTAAGACTTGGTTGTGAATCACAGTCTGTCACCTTTCTTGGATAGATACCTTCATTTCTTGGAGACTTGATTTCCTCATCTATTAAAGAGGGAGGAAAATACCTGCCTGATGAAGTTATGAGGTACTGAATATGAAGGTGCTTTATACCCAAGCTGTAGAAAAAACACTCTTTGTTCACAAAATGTGTGTCGGTGCTCGCCAGCATTCAGTGGCCATAAGTCGCTTCCCCACCCTGTCTGCTGTTGCAAACGGACGCATGAAGGAGGGAACAGGCTGCCAAGCTGGTTGGTGATCTGTCGCCATTTATTCCATTCTCCCTGTGCACCTATTCCAATCTCACTGAGTGTCCCTCGGAGTTCAAAGATTGGAGTAGCAAATACATATAGGTCAGTTTAGCACAATCAACATATGTAAAGCCCTTCCCCCTGGGGAAGTTTCTTCTAAAACAAAGATCTCATCCTGTTAGGAGATACGCCTAAGGACGAACTACCATCTAGGTATTTCTCCTTTCCTTAGTTCATATCTGTTTAAAAAGTCTTCTTAAGGGTTGGAGTGATAGCACAGCAGGTAGGGCGTTTGCCTTGCACACAAACTGACCTGGGTTCAATTCCCAGCATCCCATATGGTCCCCCAGCACGACCAGGAGTAATTCCTGAGTGCATGAACCAGGAGTAACCCCTGTGCATTGCTGGGTGCAACCCCAAAAAGCAATAAAATAAAGTCTTCTTTAATTAAACTTCTTAATAATGTTTCTAGTCATTTGTATGGACACAGATATATTAAGTTTATAGGGTGGCTCTTCTGGAGACATCTTGCTTTATATCCCAGATACAGTTCTCATTCCTTTCTAACCCCAGCAATGTCCTTGTCCAGTCACTTCTCTGTGGGTCATGACAGAATTTGTCCATGACCACTGTATCATTGTCATCCCGTTGTTCATTGATTTCCTCCATCAGGCACCAGTAACATCTCCTTCATCCTAGCCCTGAGATTTTAGAAAGTGCCACATTTGAGGCTCTTCCAGGGTCAGGGGAATGAGACCCACCATTGTTACTGGGTTTTGGCATATTGAATATGCCAAGGGGAGTTTGCCAGACTCTGCTGTGCGGGCAGGATACTCTAGGTAGCCTGCCGGGTTCTCCAAGAGCAATAACTAGATAATAAGAGGTTGCACAGCCGCAAATGCAGCTGTGCGCTTCCAGGAACTGAGTTTTATAGTCTCTGGGTCTTGGCCGTTGATGGGATAACACGGTGCTGGGGGCAATTGATGGGTGTAACGCCTACCTACTGGAAGATGAGGGATCTGGGTGGAGGAGGCCCAGTCCCGATCCGAGCAGGCTTGGAGATCTCAGCCCTGGGTCCTGCATGCCTGAGTTCCTCTGCCAGTTCCTTCATGCGTGAGGCTCATCCAAACGTGTGGAGAGTGGTCTTAAGCATTGCTGTTGTTGGTTCCAGAGGTCTTCATCTGCCGGGGCTCTGCTCAGGGCAGGGAGGGAAACTCAACCCGCCCCCCCTCCAAGGGGCCCAGTGAGGACAGCCAGGTGGGGGGACGGGGGCAGGAGACCATTGATGGGATGACACAGTAACTCCTGCTGAGATCTCCAAGCCTGTTCAGATCGGGACTGGGCCTCCTCCACCCAGATCCCCCATCTTCCAGTAGGTAGGTGTTACACCCACCAACTGCACCCTGTCGATGACCGTGCTCTTAAAATTATAAGTTTTGCAGTGCTTGGCCTGTCCCATTTCAATACCAAGGTAGCTTACAGCTTGTCCTAGCTCCATCTAAGTCCTTTTGTTGGGACCCTCCTTTTGGGGTACTAGGAGCTAAGAACAATTGAGGCTTAAGTTTAATAAATATGATAAATGCCCAGGAGTAAATATTATTCAGAGTCAGTTAACTCCCAAGTTACAAAAGTTTAGCATTAACTGTCATCCTGTATCTAAACAAAAAGGACATTGCTCTAAAGTAAACTCTGCAAAGGACATAAGGGAAAGAGGAAAGCAATATTTCATTCGCATATACAATATCCAGAGTCCTTAGAAGAATCTGACTTTAGAAGTCATAGGGTCTGATTTGGGGATAAAGGCAATTAACAGGGGAAGCAGAGCACGGAGAAGTTAATGATAAGCACAGAGAAATGGGAGTGCCTCGGGAGCACAGTGCTAAACTCCATGTGGCAAGGGAGAAAGGTTGGAAGAGAAAGGATGAACCAATATTTTCCTACAAACCTCCACAGATTATATGTGCTTACTACACTGTGCAAAATGTTTTTTAATGGGAGAGAGTTGGTATTTCTTAACTACATAGCAAAATGGAACATCACTAAGAGGGAGATGACCTTTATAATTACCTACATAATGTACCTCCTAATTTGATGCAAAAAACAAAAATAACCTGAACATATTGATATTCTTAGATATACTTGTGAGTTTACAGGATTATAAAAGGCAGAGGAACAAGATAAATTCAGGAACCACGAGATTTCGAAAGAATGTGGAATATATAAGAAAACCATTGTTTCTTCAAAATATGATGAAGGGGATAGATAACTGTTTGTTTAAACTGGGAGTTTGCTTTTTGTGCACAAAGATTTCCATAATGAAAAATCTAAAAAGTGAATGAAATATTTTTTTTATAAGACACTGAAGAGTCATGTGATACTAAGAGCAAGAAATAGATTCATACAAGGTAAGGTAAGGTAAAGGCCCTCCCGTTGATCGTCGATTTGCTCGAGCGGGCCCAGTAACGTCTCCATTGGAGACTTTGTTGTTACTGTGTCTGGCATATCGAATACTCTCGGTAGCTTGCCGGGCTCTCCGAGAGGGGCGGAGGAATCGAACTCGGGCCGGCCATGTTGGCCGCTTGTAATACAAATGTACAATTAAATTGTGACAGCTGAAAAAGAAATTCAGCAGAGGATGTACAATCTTTTAGGTACATATTTGTAGGATAACACTGTTCTGTCCTTCCTGCATAACCTCAGAAATAGTTGATAGTTTATTGGACTGAGGAAAAGAGAAAAACACCTTAAGAGGTATCTTGCCCTTGAGCAGTCAGGAAGGGCTTTCTTATGTTGATTTGGCTACCTGACTGGGTGGAGTGTCAGCCAGACTAGAAGGGAGCTGGAGAAGGAGAGAGCGGGGCTGCAAGATGGACTACGGAGAGACTAGCAAGGGGAACATGTGCTTGAGAGAACCTAGGCCCTCCACAACATAAGTTCTTCTATGGGATAAACTTCCTTGTAATAAACTGCCACTAAGATCAACCAGCCTGGCCCTCGTCTCTTCCTTCATCTGCCCTTGGCCAACAGCCTTCCCGATGCAGGCCACACGCAGTGGCTCTGGGGCACCGAACGCGGGCGGTGAGATAGAGCCGTCCAGAGAGCCCGCGAACATACAACCTTCAGCGTGCATAGTTTTTTACACATATTCCTTGAGTATGCGTAAGCTAAAAAAGCAAACAGGTGGGAGCAATAGTACAGCAGGTAAGGTGCTTGCCTTGTACACTACTAAGCCAAGTTCAATCTCCAGAATCCCATATGGTCTACCAATTACCCCCAGGAGTAATTCCTGAGTACTTAACCAGGAGTGATCCCTGGGTGTGGCCCCAAAACAAAAATAATTTTTTAAAAAGTAAACTAGAAGTAAGTGCAGAACATTTGGTCTTACATAAAATACACATTTTCCAGGCCTTGCACAAGGGTCATCCTGGATTCAATCTCGGGTACCACATCTCCATACTACCTCTCAGTGTGGCCGTGGTCGACTCAAGTACCACAAAGAATGCCCACCCCCACCCCAAAAAGCATGTTCATAGTTGTGGAGATAGTACAGCATGAAGGCGGTGTCAAAGGCAGGTGTCTTACAAGTTTCCAAACTTCAGTTTGGTCCCTGGCACAACAGGACATGGTCCCCAGAGCATCACTGGTTGCATGTTAGGAGACAAACACTGTAGAGGTCCAGGTAATCCCCAGAACTACAGGGCCTGAATAGTGCCACATGCTCAGGGTCTTGCATTGTACCGCCAACCCAATTAGCTAAATATTTCTGGTAATGGAAATATTGGAAGAGCATCTCTCCACAAAAAAGGCATGATCCGTAAAAGAAGAAACATAAATTGGACTTCATCAAAATTAAAATAATTGCAACCAACTAGGAGGATGTAAAGCTTTTATAAACTTGAAGAAAATATTTGAAAGTCATAATCCAACACAGGGCTTATATCTATATTTTAAAATTCAAAAACTAAAAATAAATAAAATTCACAAAATAAGTGCTTGAGTACAGAGGGCATGGTGTTTGCCTTGCACGTGAACAACTGGGGTTCAATCCTCAGCACCACATATGGTCCCCTAAGCATCACCAGGAATGATCCCTGAGTACAGAGCCAGGGGTTAGCCCTGAACATCACAGGGTGTGGCCACCAAAACTGTTTTTTTTTTTATTCTTTTTTTTTTTTTTTAACAAAACACAACAGTAATAGATTTGGTTATAAAATGAGCAAAAGACAAACAGGGCTGGAGAAATAAATGGTCTGAGTGAATGCTTTGCATGCAGGAAGCCCTTAGTTTGATCCTCAGAACCACACAATACCCTGAGCACTGGTGGGAGTGAGCACCATCTGGCGTGATCACACCCACTACCCTCCAAACAAAATGAAACAGACATTTTCCCCAAGTTAAATTGGAACGAAAATTTTGGAGGTTAACAACTCTCAAAAAATGCTTTCAGTATGTACCACCATTGTCGAGTACAAGTGGAGAACACAGATTTTCACTGTATCATTCTTTCAACTTTTCTGTAACCATTTGATCATTTTCACAGGAAACATTTGAGCAGAATTAATAAGACTTTCTACAGATTACTGTGTTGCAGCTCAAGTTCCTGCACAGACGCCTGGCTGAAGTGCCCCTGTCCAGCCTGGACGGGTCGCTTTCCTCCCTGAGACTCAGCGGGGGCGGTGCTTCTGCATCCTCCTAAGGAATTTTGTCCTTACCCTTGGTCCAGGGCTTTATTGGACACCCATCGAGAAGCGAGTACCTCCGAGATTCCTAGAGAGGCCGACTGGCGACTTGGGGCGCCGGAAGCCCATCCCGAGACACTTCCTGTCCGGTCATTGTTCTCGCGCCGGTAAGCGCGGGGGTCTTGGTCCTGGGGCCTCTTGCTCGTGAGCCCGCGGGCTGCACAGGGCCGCTCGGCTGCGCCGGGCTGGCGGGGTTATGTGCGTGTGGACGCCAAGGCCTGAGCCCCGGGAGGGACCTTCCCGCGGGCGGGCGGCGCCTTCTCGGGGGGACCCCAGCCCGGGGGGTCGGCTCTGCACCCCAGCACCTCGCGGCCGCCTTCTGGGGACCTGCCCGCGGGAAGGTTAGACTCGAACCGCCCCAGGGGTGAGGCTCAGCCCGGGAGCAAGGGTGCATGGGGTCCACGGCGAGAGACGGGCGCAGGAGGGGGCGCCAGCCCCTGAGGGTCCGGGCCGGGATGCCCGCTTGAGTTTGCTCAGAAGTTCGACACGCATACGCACGGTAGGCTATGGCGTGCGAGGTGAAGCAAGTTGTTAAAGGCTTTCCTACGTGCAAGGATGGTCTTGCAGGAGGAGTACTGGTTGCAGAAATGAAAGGGTCATGATACTGAGGAAATATGCAAATCGATTGACCGTTAACTTAGGGCGGGGCGGGGGGGGGAACATGATCGCTTCAATAGTAGCAAAAAGGGTCCAAGGTAAAATTTAGGATTTCCCCCACCCCCTTATACAAGGGGATAGAAAATTTTCGATCTCTTACTAACCAAGTAAGATCAAATGAGATTATTATACTCAAAAGTTAAATCACAGAGCTGCGGGCTTTATTGTTAAGTTGGTAGTCGTGTGATTTGTCACGATCCTTTTTAGAAAGCCACATGGAAAACATTAACCACAAAATCTGATTTTGCTTTGGTTTTCCTTTTTTGGGTCATACCTGGAGGTTTTTCGGGGTCCCTCTGGACTCGGATCACGCCTGGCAAGAGCTCAGGACCCATATGAGATCCAGCCCAGGTTGATAGCTTATAATGCAAAGCAAGTGCTTTAACCGCTGTACTATTTCTCCAGCCCTCAACCACAAAATCTTACATGTCCAAAGAAGACTTTAAAAGTAGGAGGAAATGCTGATATTTTACATTCACGGTCTCGGTCCTCCCGTTGTTCATCGATTTGCTCGAGCGGGCCCAGTAACGGTCTCCATTGGAGACTTTGTTGTTACTGTGTTTGGCATATCGAATACATCATGGGTAGCTTGCCAGGCTCTGCCATGCGGGCGAGATACTCTCGGTAGCTTGCCGGGCTCTCCGAGAGGGGCGGAGGAATCGAACTCGGGTTGGCCATATTGGCTGCATGCAAGGCAAATGCCCTACCGCTGTGCTATCACTCCAGCCCAATATTTTACATTACTGATTTCAAAATCCAAGGAAGGAGACATTGAAAGCTTCTTAATATATTAAAGTTTTATTAGGAAAGAGGTCTCCGTATTAGATGTTAGCAAAATATTGTAGATTCCAAATTTGGTCCTCAAATGTGTTTGTTTTATTTGTCCTAAAATAATGTCTACAAATATAAAACTCTTAAAGATAAGTTATTTTCCCATTGGGACTCTTTAATGTGGAAATGTATTCTACCAGCATAATTTTATAAAATACTGTGTGATAAAAGAAAAAAGAAAAACCACTTAGAAAATAAAACTTAAAGCGAACTGAAAACTATCAGATTTCTTTTTACTAAGGTAGTGGTTCACAAATCGGGAATGGTTAAATAAATCTCAGTATAACTATAACTTAGATTGCTATGCCAGAATAAGATCTCAGGTTTGTAAAATAAGAAAATTTTGTTAACCAAATAATGAACATTGTGGAACACTATACAAGTCTGATTTAATGTGCTTTGGGGAAATCAGTAGTAAGTGTGAAGGTCTATATCTATGTCTAGAAATAAAAGGAAAAATTGAGATAAACCGCCAATCACTGTGTAACTTTTTTTTTTTTTGCTTTTTGGGTCACACCTGGTGATGCTCAGGGGTTACTCCTGGCTCATGCACTCAGGAATTGCTCCTGGCGGTGCTCAGGGGACCATATGGGATGCTGCTGGGAATCGAACCTGTGTTGGCCATGTTGGCTGCGTGCAACGCCCTACCCGCTGTGCTATCGCTCCAGCCCCTCACTGTGTAGCTTTTGATCCTATATATGTGTTTCCTTTTTTCTGAATTTTTCAGTGAGGAAGATAGGTCATTATGCTACTAATCAAAATGATAAACCTGAAGAATGGCAACATGGATTTTTTTTTTTACTTTTAACAGTAATATCTGGTCTTAGAGAACATTTGAGGAAATTGAGAGTGAAAAAAATCAACCTACTCAAAATTACCCATAATTACATTACCCGGAGATAACCACTGTTAACATGTTGATGTTGGAAAAGATTCCCAGTCTTTTCTTTTTTTAAGTGGGTGTGAGGGGTGCTTCTAAACAGTGCACAGGAGATTAGGGGCCTCAGCGGTGATTTTCTTTTCTTGTGGTGGTTTTTGGATCATACTCAGCAATGTTCAGGGCTTACTCCTAGCTCTGCACTCAGGAATCACTTCTGGAGGGCTCATGGGATCATATGGGATGCTGGGGGGACCCTGGTTGTCCATGTGCAAGACCAAGTGCCCTACCCATTATACTAGGAGTGCTTTTTAAACAGCAGCATTTTCTGTGTTATTTAGTTGGGGTGGGGGTGGCGTGTTTTTATTTTGGTTCGTTTCTGGGGGGTCCAAGCCTGATGGTGCTCAGGGCTTACTCCTGATGGGGCTCAGGAACCATACATGGTGCCAAGGATTGAACTCTGGTAGCCATATGCAAGGCAAGTGCCTTGCCACTGTACTTTCTCTCTGGCCCCAATTTGTTACCATAACATTTTATAATAAAAATCAACTTTATAGAAAACCATGTGTTTAGTGATTCCCCTGAGGACAGATGGCATGATAGCAGTCATGTTCCTTTTATTCTATGGGAGGCCCTAGACTGGGGAACTTGTCCTGTTAAAACCATTGCACTGGTTAGCTGGGTGTGTGTGTGTGGGGAAACCCTGAAATTGGTTAGTGGCACCTGACAAATTCTCAAGCCTAATTCTGTTCTCTTTTTTCATAGTAAATAACACGTATCCAGTTTAAGAAGCAGCTTTCAGAACTTAGGGGATAGATGGGGCTTGACCTCTGCTGGGCAGCCCCCAGTGACAGCCATCCCGTGCTTAGAAGAGATGACTGCAGAATTAAGGGAGACCATGGCCCTGGCCTCATGGGGACCGGTGACTGTGAAAAAGGAGGAGGAAGAAGAGGAAAACTTCCCTGGGCAGGTACCTGGCCAGCCAATGCACTCCGAGAACATCAGTGTCTGGGCTCCCGGGGAAGGGGCTTCAGCAGACCTTGACATGGCAGAGCCAGTTGGAGAGGTAAGTGATGGTGAGGAGGACAGTGAGGAAGGACTGAAGGCCCTCAGGTGTTTCAGGTGGGGCTTGTCCTCACGTGAGTCTTGCTTCTTGGCTGGGGTTCTGAAAGATAACAGAGAGGCTTCCTTTGGGTAGATGTGACATTTCATACTTGTTCTAACTATTGGTTTTTGGGTCATACCTGGCAGTGCTCAGGGCTCACCTCTGGCTCTGTACTCAGAGATCACACCTGGAGGGCTCAACTGGGGGGGGTTAAACTTGGGTCCACTGCATGCAATGCGATACCCTACTCACTATATTGCCGCTCTGATGCCAGGCAGTTTGTCTTTTTTGTAAATCTTGTGGTTATCACACTACAGCACATTGTGATTCAGGAAGTTTTTTCTAGATGGTGGGACCTGGCATTACTCAGTGTTTCTCAGTCTGGGAACATACAGCCTCTCTTCCCCAGGGGCCACAGGTAAAATTGTGTAAATGGGAAATCATGGTATGAAATGAGGGAGTCAACCAGTAGGAGGTAGAGGTTGGGGGGCAGGTAGAAAACAAGGTAGGAAGGGATCACAATCAAAAATGGTTAAAAAACACAGTCCTTCCTCATTGCAATTAAATCAGAATTCCTGGAGCTGGGATCTAGCCATCTGTATCTTCCTATTTTGTTTTATTTATTTTGGGGCCACACTAAATGGTGCTCAGGGATTATTCATGGCGGACTCAGGGAACCAGATAGAGTGTCTGAGTTCGAACCCTGGTTAGCCGCATGCAAGGCAAGCATCTGACCACTGAACTATCTCTGGCCTCAACATTTTTGAAAATAAAGAATAAAGGGGCTAGAGAAATAGCAGAGTGGGTAGGGTACATGTCTTGCACATAGTAGACCTAGGTTTGCTCCCCGGCACCCTATATGGTCCCCCAAGCCTGCCAGGTGTGATTACTGAGCTCAAAGCCAGGAGTAAGCCCTGAACAGCGCTGGGTGTTCCCCCAAAAAAAATGTTTGAATATAGATGAGGTAAGATGACTACAGTAGTGTTAAACTTTACTATACACAAAGTTATTGCACCTCACCACCATCACCACCACCAAAAATGCTGTCGTTTTAAACTCTTCCATTGATTTTAGTCAGCATTTAATAACTCTTATTTTTATTTCAAACTCACAGAAATTACGGGGGAGCTTGTTAAAATGCAGATTCTGACTGGAGGTATAGGGCATAAGCTGAGAATCTGCATTTCTCAAGCTCCCTTGTGACACAACTGATCTGCAGCCCACACCTCAAAGGCCAGATTCCATACACTGGGGAGAGGGAATGGGGAGAGAGAGGGAGGGAGGGAAGGAGGGAGGGAGGGAGGGAGGGAAGGAGTTTCCTCAAAGCCTGTCTGTGGTAGTATGATCCAGGGGCCAGAGACAGTACAGCTGGTACTGCACTGGACTTGCACACAGCTGACCCTGCTTAATTCTGGCACCACATACAGCCCCACAAACATAGTCAATGGTTAATCCCTGAGCACAGAACCCTGAGCACCACCAGATGTGAACCTTATGCTCATCTCAAGCATAAGGAGAGACTCAGCTTCCTTTTCCTTTCTTTATTTTCTTGTTTTGCCACTTGTCCTCAGAGCGTCTCATCACAGCAGCCCACACTGACTTGGACAGGTCCCTCATGAACCCCTCTGGCCTGCTTGTCTCTAGGGCCCGAACATTTTCTGGAACATGGCGGTGATACTGAAAGCTGCACAGGACGCACCAGCTGCGTCCCTATATGGTAGATGCTCCTTTCCCAGGACCCTGACCAAGAGCGAGAGGCTGGACACTCATGGGAACATCATGTTGCCAGGTATGATTCAACCCACTGATTCAGAAGCTGATCCTTGGGGTTTCTCAGAACCTTTACAGGACGATGGTTTTGTCTCTGAGCCTAAAGCGACTAAGTATTGAGGTATTGAAAGTGTCCAGGAGCTCTGGATAGAGGAATGGGGACAGATAGTATGTGTTTGTCAAGAGAAAAAAAATTTTTACGAACAGTTACAAAATACTAGACAAAGGTGAACTTGAATTTACCTTTTCAGGAGGGCCAAGCAGTGCTTATGGGAACAGCAGGGCCACACCCAGCAGTGCTTAAAGAATCCTATAGTGGCAGGGCTCAAGCCTGTGCTTTTGTATGTAAGATAGGTGCTCCAGCCCTAAGGCATCTTTTTGGACCTGAATTCACCTTTTTTTTTTCTTTTTGGGTCACACCCAGCAATGCTCAGGGGTTACTCCTGGCTCTGCACTCAGGAATTACTCCTGGCAGTGTTTGGGGGACCATATGGGAAGCTGGGAATCAAACCCGGCTTGGCCGCGTGCAAGGCAAACACCCTACCCACTGTGCTATCACTCCAGTCCCTGAATTCACTTTTGAATGACATTTATTATTAGAAAAGTCTCACCTGTTCACATATGTAGGTTCACATCCTCTTTGTATGCTGTGTTTATTTTATTATTATTTGTTTGTTTGGGATCATAGCTGGTGGGCTCAGGTATGTGGTGCTGGGGATCAATCCTGCATTGGCCACATGCCAGGCTAGCTCCTGGCCCTCTGTACAAGCATCTTCTGCCCCTGTTTTGTGTTTGTTATAGACTAGTGAACCTGTAGGAACAGGCGAGCTCTCTAACTTGTTAAAGAAATACCTTAGAGGAGCTCTGTTTTCATCGGTCTTTGTCCAAATTCAAGAGAACTTCGAATAGTTAACAGCATCCACAATGGTGTTCCAAACTAGGTCTTCAGTGGCAGCCTTATTTCTGGTTGAAGCTGGGGTGTAGAATAGGGGGCAGTGTTCTTTGGGTCTGTCCGGCAGAGGCAGCACTGCTTGCCTGGACAGTGGCCCAGCTGGGGATCAGAGGCATTTTAGCCGTGAGTTCTGTATTCAGGACGCAATCCCCGCATGACTGCCCAGGCCCTTTCTGACCCTCATTTTGTGCAAGTGCCTATATAGGACTCTGCCTGAATATTTTCAACCCACTCTCCTCTTTACCCAATTGCTTCATCATTTCTGGACCAGGTCACTCTGCTGTTAAAGGTAAGGCTATGATCTTCATCTTTTATTTTCTCACCTCTTTAGTTTTTCCCCCTCTAAACTCTCAGCAGCGCTGCACTCAGGAATCTCTCCTGATGGTGCTCAGGGGAACCATGCTGATCGAACCCAGATAGACAAGGTGCAAGGCGAGCACCTTATCCACTATGCTATCTCCCTGGCCCCCTGTAAAAGCATTTTATAGAAAAACAATGTAAAGGCACTGAAACCACACCCTTAACAGAACCTTGATGAGAAATGAGATATAAGATCAGAATCAAGTCCTGTTAGTTGTGATTATAAGGCATTGGAAGGCTTCTTGCCACTATTAAAACTATATATGAAGAGAAATATAGTTGCAGTAATATTTAAATGTCAGCACTGGGGCTGGAGTGATAGCACAGCGGGTAGGGCATTTGCCTTGCACGCGGCTGACCCAGGTTCGATTCTCAGCATCCCATATGGTCCCCTGAGCACCACCAGGATTAATTCCTGAGTGCAGAGCTAGGAGTAACCCCTGTGCATCGCCAGGTGTGACCCAAAAACAAACAAAAAAAACTGTCAGCACTGCCAGAAAAATCACATGTTTTAATTAGATGTGCCTAATTTTTAAATCTATTTTAAACTTAACCTGAGATCTTACAAATAAAATCCTGATGAGCACAGTTATTTTTCAACTTAATGGTTTAGACTTATTTATTAGATATCTTTCATATCTTAGAAATTCTGAGATGGCATACTTAGAATTTCAGTTTTCTCTCTTTTTTAAATATGAAAAGAAAAATGCTGCTTTTGAAAGTTCTCTGCTTATGCATTAGTTGATCACAAGTGAGTTTTCACTTACACTCTTCATTATTTCCATATTTATTTGTGTGTTTCCCAGGGTTACAGTAATCCTACAAGATACAAGATCCTAGAAAGGGAAAGTGCCATTTCATACAAGCCGGAGTTAACAATCCTGGATGATTGGCAATTAATTGCTTGGGGATATTCAGACTTAAGCACAAGGAATGGGCCTTATCTTGTTTGTGTTTTGGTCATATCCATGCTCAGGCATAACTCCTGGCTCTGTACTCCAGAATCACTACTGATAGTGCTCTGGGGGATGGGATGCCAGGGGTTGGGTGTGGGCAGGAGGAGGTTGAACCAGTTTTGGATACATGCAAGGGAAGCACAGACTACTCCTGCCCTGTCTCCATCCAGGAGTCTTACCCTTTTGTTAAACTAGACATATTGATCACCCCTGTGATCAAACTGCTGGATATTTGCTGCTTTAATATCCACGCAACAGTTCCACTGGGTCTGGAGTGATTTTAATACAAAGCATTATGCAGGTAGAAGGAATTGTTGGTGGGTTTTTATTTATTTATTTGCTTATTTACTTTTTAAGCCACACCAGCGGTGCTCAGGAATTACTCATGGTGGTGCACGAGAACCATATGGAATACTGGAGATCAAACCCAGGTCGACTCTATACAAGAGAAGTGCCCTACCTGCTGTACTATTCCCTCTGGCCCTTTGTCAGTGTTTTTGAAAGATGAAGTGATCTTTGTCTTTCTCGAGTCTCTGATCAGTACATGTTGGGCATGTGGGGGTGTGAGCGGGGCGGGAGTGCAACTGTGGGCTGAATTCTGGTGGGCTTTGTTTATGTCGCAATGAGGTATGGTTCCATTCTACTCTGTAGGCTCGCCTCTCCTCATCTCACTTGCCTTATTATCTGAGTAGTTTTCCTGGCTTCATTCACCTACGGCATCACTCTATCACCTTGGACTGCATAACTACCTTTTCTAGGGTTGTGATAGGGAGGGACGGGCAGGTAGCCTGGAGAGAAGTACAACATGAAGAACCATGATGTGGACAAGAAGGCCGGGATAGTCCTTTCTGATACCGGAAAGGTCTAAGGCAGTGTAGCGTAGCCTGTGGTCATGGCTGTAACACTTGCGGACATTCTGATGGTCTCAGGGCATTGGCATTATGGAGCCAGCAGTGTTGTGGCTCAGGCTTAACTCAGGAAGGTCAGCTTCCCTCAACGAGAGGCTAGACAGTTGCATTATGTCATGCTCTGTCACCTGAAGGGCAATTCCCAGCCCCAGAGTTCCATCTTTTCTCCTGGCCCCCAGCCCCTTTGGCTCACAGAGCCACTCTCTGTGCTCCATAGTTGTTCTCTGCAGATGACATATATAAGTAACCCGTTTCATCTCCTTGTGGTATTAGGTGGTAGAGGCTGTCACTGAACTTATTTAGAGATGAGGAAATTAGAACACAGAAATTATTAGCTGAGGGTCATGCAGCTGGCAAGAGACAGAGCAGAGATTTTTTTTTAAATTTTATTGAATCACCTTGAGATAGTTACAAGTTTTCATGTTTGGGTCACAATCACACAATGATCAAACACCCATCCCTCCATCAGTGCACATTCCCCACCACCAATATCCCATTTCCCACCGCCCCCTGCCTCCATGGCAGACAATATTCCCCATACTCTCTAGTTTTGGGCATTATAGTTTGCAGTACAGACACTTGAGAGGTTGTCATGTTTGGTCCTTTATCTACTTTCTGCACACATCTCCCATCTCCATGGTTCCTCAAGCCATCATTTTCTTAGTCATCCCTTCTGTATTCCAGCTGCCTTCTCCTCTTTAGAGCAGAGATATTTTTTTTAAAGTTTTTTCTGTTTTTTTTTTTTTGTTTTGGGCCACACCCAATAGTGCTCAGGGCTTATTCCTGTCTCTATGCTAAGGATCACTCCTAGTGACTGGGGTTTAGGGAACACAGTGGGATGCTGGGGATCAAACCCGGGTCGGCCACATACAACACCCTACCTGCTGTACCATCCCTCAGGCCCCCAGTGTAGGGATTTGAGCCCATGTTGTCTGGCATCCAGTGTCACCCTCTCGGTCCACGCCCAGTTGAGGGATCTCCTACACTAACTAGTGGGTTGTTGGAAAATTCCCATCAAGTTGCTGAGGTCTGTGGCTCACTTGAGGGGAGACTAGTGTCCCTAATAACTGGGCATAATTGTGAGATCAGTCCATTGGCAACTGGGAGAAGAGCCGTCTGGAGACTGGAGACTGCTTCCCTGCAGACAGCGGGTTTAGTGTCGAATGCTGGGAAGCAAACATGCCAGAAACACCCTGAGTGTAGGTGTGAGGGACAGCACAGACCTGGCAGGACAGCTTCAGAGAGGAATTCTTAGTCCTGTGAAGCTGTTTTGCAAATGCTAAAGTGCCGTCCTGTCCTTTAACACCAGATGACCCTATCTTTTGGAGATAAGGAGGGCTTGAGCCATGCCTGGTGGTGCTTGGGGCCTGTCGTTGGCTCAGAAATTGCTCCCAGCATTGCTTGGGAAACCCTGCGGTGCGAGGCCTCGGAAGTCGGCCTCATGCAAGGCAAGCACTTCAAAGTCCTGTCCTATCTCCAGCCTATGAGCCTATTTTTTTTTCAATGCCAGAAAAGGTTGACATTTGTATTTTCCATTTGTTATTTCAGGCGTTGAAACCCAGAGTCCCCAATTATTGGTTTCAAAAACTGAGACATGCGATGAGGCAGAAAGAATCCAGAAGTTGGGCCCTCGGGAATTTGAGTTAGGAGAAACCGGTGGAAATGGGAGCATGCTTAAACAGCAGAGAATAAAGAGGGAAAAGGAGGAGCTCAGAGACGTGCCCGGCAAAGACCGTCATCTGTCTGAAAGCCTCAAAGAAGAGAAAGACCAGCAAGGTCTGAAGTCTGGGGAAAGACATGGCCTGAGTCCCGGCCCTGTGAAAAATGCAAAAAGCCAGCCGGGGCAGAAGCCTTTCACCTGCAGTGTGTGCGGAAAGGGCTTCAGTCAGAGCGCCAACCTGGTGGTGCACCAGCGTATCCACACGGGGGAGAAGCCCTTCGAGTGTCACGAGTGCGGGAAGGCCTTCATCCAGAGCGCCAACCTGGTGGTGCACCAGCGCATCCACACGGGGCAGAAGCCCTACGTGTGCGCCAAATGTGGCAAGGCCTTCACCCAGAGCTCCAACCTGACCGTCCACCAGAAGATCCACTCCCTGGAGAAGACCTTCAAGTGCAGTGAATGCGAAAAGGCCTTCAGTTACAGCTCGCAGCTGGCCCGCCACCAGAAGGTGCACATCACCGAGAAATGCTACGAGTGTAACGAGTGCGGGAAAACGTTCACGCGGAGTTCCAACCTCATCGTCCACCAGAGGATTCACACGGGCGAGAAGCCCTTCGCCTGCGGTGACTGCGGCAAAGCCTTCACCCAGAGCGCCAACCTGATTGTGCACCAGCGCAGCCACACGGGCGAGAAGCCCTACGAGTGCAAGGAGTGCGGGAAGGCCTTCAGCTGCTTCTCGCACCTGATCGTGCACCAGAGAATCCACACCGCCGAGAAGCCGTACGACTGCAGCGAGTGTGGCAAAGCCTTCAGTCAGCTCTCTTGCCTTATCGTGCATCAGAGGATTCACAGCGGCGACCTGCCGTACGTGTGCAACGAGTGCGGGAAGGCGTTCACGTGCAGCTCCTACCTGCTCATCCACCAGCGCATCCACAACGGCGAGAAGCCATACACATGCGGCGAGTGTGGCAAGGCTTTCCGGCAAAGGTCCAGCCTCACCGTGCACCAGCGAACCCACACCGGGGAGAAGCCCTACGAGTGTGAGAAGTGTGGGGCGGCTTTCATTTCCAACTCGCACCTCATGCGGCACCACAGGACCCACCTCGTGGAATAACGGGAGAGGGGAACAGGGCCTTCCACGCCCCTAAGCACCACTCTCTTCCTGCTCGCTTTAAAGACCTCTCCACTGTTTCCTTCCTCTGTAAAAACGCGGCTTCCTGTGAGCTGGAGCCATAGCACAGCCAGGCACTTGCCTTTCTTTCAGCTGACTCCGGTTTGATATCCTGGCAGTCTCCCGAGCATCACCAGGAGTGATCCCTGAGCACAACAGGATGTGGTCCAAAAACCAAAAAAAAAAGAAAGAAAGAAAGAAAGAAAGAAAGAAAGAAAGAAAGAAAGAAAGAAAGAGAACAGCCATCACGCCCTGCTATGTCATTGAAAGTTTCCAGGAGTGCAGTACAGAACACAGAGCAAGCCTTTCAGCTCCCTTAAAGAAAACGACACCCAGCACCCAAAGCCAGAACTTTGTTTTTAACTTGACTGGGCCTCGTGTGTGAAGTGGCCTGTGATTCAATTAATTATGGGTCAGACAAAGCTAAGACGTTAAAAATAATATACCATTATAGATTTTTTCTAAATTTTAAGTAAATGGGTTTTTTTCTTTTTTTTACATAATTTTGACTTTAAAACTTGAGGCAGGTTACTAGTAAAGGTCTGCCTGGTGGAATTCTGGAACTTTGAGCCTCGCAGCCTAACATTTTGGGTTAAGTGGTAAATAGCTTAAGGAGAGCACTTGGGCTTTGTACTCTAGCTAAGTAGTGGTTTGATGAGGAAAGCATGGGAGGTAGCAGTAGTCCACCAGCTGCTCCTCTCAAGATTAAGCTTTTTATTCCCTAGAAACAGTCGATAGCACAGCGGGTAGGGCGTTTGCCCTGCATGCAGATGACCTGGGTTTGATTCCTCCGCCCCTCTTGGACAGCCCAGCAAGCTACCAAGAGTATCCCGCCTGCACGGCAGAGCCTGGCAAGCTCCCCATGGAATATTCGATATGCCAAAACAGTAACAATAAGTCTCACAATGGAGACATTACTGGTGCCTGCTCGAGCATATCAGTGAACAATGGGATGATAGTGCTACAGTGCTACAGAAACAGTCAAGAGCCGAATAACTGTCTTGTGCCCCTAAAGCTGACAGAAGCAGAAAAAGGCTGTTTCTTTTGAATGTTTTGTTTTAGACCTTTCCCCGTGGTGCTGGAACCCGTCATATCTACATACCCAGTGGCATTGGAAAGATCATTCAGTGTCAGGGGGTGGGGAGTGGGGGCTAACCCGGGCCCTGTGTGTGCCAGGCATCCATACCTGCCCTTTGAGCTGTCTCTGCAGCCTGAAAACAGCTACTTCATTCCTGGTGCGTTCTTCTACCTTCTAACCCTGGGTGGGGTACAGCTATAGGGTCCTTTGACAAATATCTCAAGACCATTCCCCAGTCTGCATTTGAGGATTAATGGAGACAGCAAATTGGGGACAGGGGAGAGCCACAAATTCTGCTGGGCTGTTGCTCACTTACCATTATCAACACCTCCCTGGAAAACCCCACTTCCCTTTGTGCTCCGTTCAAGAGGGGGTGGGGGGGCAGAAGCATCCCCTTCCCCATAGGCGAGAAGGAAGCTTGCCTGGGGACGTGACCTCATGGTCTGCCCATGCTGCTGGGAGTTTCCTTCTCATCTTCTAGATGGTCTTTGGAAGAAATGGTGGAACTCTTAATTCTTAGAAGGCAGGCAGGTGGAGGGAGGAAGCAGAGTGGGATTCCTGAGGTCTTCATTTATTTTTCTCTTGGAGAGATCAGAGGTATTGAAATATGAAAACTTTTGGAAGGATGGAGAAATCTGGCTAAGGTAAGATACCTTTGTTGCCACTGTGTCTTTATTCTTGGTAAAATGATTTGTAAAACTATGCAAATAAGGAAGATTTATGTAATACTATTGCCTTGTATTTATATAGAAATTTATTCTTTGTGTACCTTCATGTGCTGAGTCATGATACCCAGCAGTTAACGACTCATTTTTCCACATGGTTTCAGACATTCTTGTATCACTGCGACTGCGGGTGCCCCTTTGCCCCAAGCATGGTCTTCTCCCACAGGGCCAGACCTGAGGGGCAAAGCCTGTCTTCCAGTGCAGGTTCTCTTTGTTCTGCCATGCTGCTTGTCTACCTATAACTCCCTCCCCCCCACACCAGATATGCAGGCAAGCCGGATAAATGGGTGTGAATTTTTCAGGTGAGAAAGCTTAAGGTGACAGAGTTTTTGGGGGACGGGAGGGGTGGGACAGTGTTATGAGTAGGCAGCAAATGGAAGGCTGGAAGGCGTGTCTCCTCAGTCTCTCTTCACCTCCAGTCTGAGCGAAACTGAGCAAAACTGATCAGCACTGATCAGAAATGCGAAGGCGGGTGGGGAACAGACTGCCACAGCACTCATGAGAACCTCCTGCTTTGGATGGTCTCATTGTGACAAGCCTACGTATTGATCAGCTTGGTGTTTTGAAGCTTGGTGAGCACCATTTTTCCCCCTTGGGTTTTGGGGTCGCAACCCAGGGTGCTCAGGGTTTAATCCTGGCTCTGTGCTCAGGGATCACTCCTGGCACACTCAAGGGTCCATGTGGAGTGCTGGGGATCAAGCTCGGGTCAGCTGCATGCAAAGCAAACGCTCTATCCACTGTAGGATGGCGCCGACCCCATAGGGGGCGCTTTCTCAATGAGGAATCATTTGAGGGAGATGAGACGCTCTAATGGAAGCTTATTCCTCCTGAGCTGCAGTCTCTAAGAGCAGGCGCAGGTGCTTTGCCTCAGGATCGCTCATTATGCTAAGACTGAAAAAACAGATACAATTAAAAAAAATCAAAATTGTTCACGCCTACCAACCCTCTTAGTGACTACTTCTGTTTAGATGTAGGAAGACTTAAAGAGATTATGTCATGTGGCTCTGCAAGATTAGAACGAGTTAGTTTTTTTTTTTAATTTTTCGGTTTTACACCTTTTTTTTTTTTCATCCATTTTCCTCTGCCTGATCAGGGCACTCAGGAGAGCAGAGGGCAGGTCTGAAGGTCTGAGATCGATCTGTGACCTTGAGCAAAAGTGTACTTTCTGGAAGGATATCAGCTGGAATTTAGGACCATGAGGATGATTAAACTGAGCTTCATGTCATATAATCATTGTAACTGAATATTCAGTCATGGCCGATTGCGATTTCCTGGCTCAACACTCAAGATACATCAGAAAGTTTCTTTCAGCTAATTTTCGAGGCCAGGAAGAGAACATAGAAGGCTGCAGCACATGCTTTACTTGCAGGAGAGCCAGGCATCATCCCTGGCACCACGTCATCCCCTCAGGATTCCCGGGAGCGCCCCTGTACCCCCAAAGTAGTTCGTGGTGATAGAAATCTCCATGTGCCAGTCGCTGCCTCAACATTGCAGGAGACCAGTGATCTGAGAGTCACTGGAAACTTGACTTCTGGCCAGAGTCCCCTGGAGTAATAAAAACCGGTCTTTCCCGTCTTAGGTATATTTTAAAACTGGACGGAAGGAATAGGAATTTGGTTCAGTGGCTTAAAGTACCCAGAGCAAGTGTGAGACTCTGAGTTTAAGGTCTGGTTCCCTGCTTGTACTGAAGTGGTTCCTGATGAGGAAAGAATAGAAGAAGGGCTCAGGAGAAGCTCAAAGGACTGGGGGGCATAATGTCGAGGAGGAGGCAGTTTCTTGAGCACAGCACCAGGAGTTAGCCCCTAGCACTGCAGCGCTTGACTGCCAAACCAAGAACAGACTTGAGCTGGGAGCCATTGTGTAACCAGGGTAGTGAGCGCTTGTAGTGAAATAAAGCCTACAGAGCACATGTGTGTCCTCCGAGGTGAAGGGGGCTGGGGTGGGGGCGACGTTGTGAGCAGTGTTGTTGCGTTGGCTGTGCCTTTACCACCAGAGGGACTATCTTGTAATTTGGGGGGGGCGGTTGCTGGGGCAGGGGAGAGGCACACCCATCAATGCTTAGGGGTTGCTCCTGCCTCTGCACTCAGGAATAACTCCCGGCAGTGCTCAGGGGACCATATGGGATACCAGGGATCGAACCCAGGTTGGCTGCTTGCAAGACAAAGGGAATATTGTACCATTGTACTATTGTTCTGGCCCTGTGAGTGACTTATACTTTAAGTATATAACATATATGAGGAAACCCAGGTTTTATTGAACATGCATTTACGTTCCTCATTCTGCAAAAGGACTTCATGTTCTGTGTATATTTCACCTGCCAGTCTGGCTTTCCATAAACCTACACAGCCAGTTTTAGGAATCCATACTCAGAACAAATCATAGGAGCCTCGTGGATTACTAAATAATAGATCCTTCTTCAGTCGGTAAGAACTGGCTGCTCGTAGAAGTCCAGCTTCTGATCAATTCCTGTACAGTTCCTAGTAAGTAGTGGTGTGACTATATTCTTATTGTTCCAGTTGGTTTAAATTCTTTGCTTTACCCAAAATGTTTGGCTCATCAAAATCTTAATAAGGGCCGGTTTCCCAGTAAATACATTCAGGTAGTCCTTTCTCTCTCCCTTGCCTGGTCATGCGTGAAGTAGATGGGAACGCTGATACCTCATTTTCCTAAGCGTCATCAGACTTTTATTTATTGGGGAACTGGCCCTTACTAAGACTTTGATGAGCCAGACATTCAGGGTAAAGCAAAGAATCTGTCCTGAGTGGAGCAAAGTAATGGGGAGTACATTAATAAGAATTAATGATCCTTTTGCAATGTTCAGGTACTCTGGAAACACTAGGGAGCCTCTTCATCAGCACCCCTCCCCCCAAGGACAACTACCCTGAGTTCCATCCTCAGGAAGAAGGGTCTCTGGACAGAAGCCATCCTTCATCCATACTCTGTCCCCTCCTTTTCCTGCTTGGGCACTTCTCCCTCTCCCTCACTTCCTCACTTTCTCCTCCGCTCTGTGCCTAACATTTCTGGGGCTTTTCACAAGCTGGTGGAGGTGGTATCTCCTCTCCTTGAAATACAGGTTGCCCATTCAGTTTTGTGTTCATTTGGAGGTAGAGAGGCTCACTGGGGCCAATCCATGGATCCTCTGTAGCTTGCAG